TTTATGAAATTTTGGTGATCTATGATTTATTTGTTCTCATGGCATGCTTATATGTATATGTTTGATTTGCACGCTTGTATTTGTGAATTTCTTGAAGTATGGTAGATTAGTTGTGTACCATTGAACTTGCAAAGCTCAACGTTTGAATTATTTCTATTTTCAAATTAGTAGACTTTTGTTCGTATCAAGAGCATCAACAACAAGAGACTTCCAGCACCCCGTATTCAGAGTAGAGTACCTTATATGTTAGTGGGAATTATATTCATAGGGTCTCACTTATATTTCGAGGTCAACAACTCGTTTATTATTTTTTAGATATTTGACTATTTTGATATATATACTTATGATGGAGCTCCACATTTTTTGTGTAACTACATTTAATACTATTTTAATATAATTATTTGATGACATTTCTCTTATATATAAAAAAATTAATATTTTAAAATATTAGAAATTTGTTAGGTTGCTTCGGTAATCCGAATGTAACATCTTGATCTCGAGTATTTTATATTCGAGATTAGGGTGTTACTTAAACAATCACTCATGTTTCCATACCTAGAAAATCCCGATGGACAATACCATAACAAAGTAAAAAATGAAACCAAGATTCAAGTTTTATGAACATGGATTAGAGAGATTATTTTAGAGATGTAGGCAGTGAGGGTTTAATTATAGGTGAGAGGTCTATGATTTTGTAATACCCTAATTTTGTCTGGACAATTCGACTTAGATTGATTGCTATCAAAGAACAGTTGGAGTCGTTTGGTGTTATTATCAATTTGCTTCAAGTGACTTTAGTGGCTTGAATGGAAGATCGTTCGTGAAATTCTATGAAACATCGCGAAATTCGGACGAATTAATATCGCGAAATTCGAACGAATTAGCATCGCAAAATTCGGACACAAACTCGTAGTGGAATAGTCGTGATCTTTGGAGTTGGGTAATCGTAATTCGGAGCCCAAATTCATATCCAAATTAATGCTCATTTTTTAATATCAAACACCCAAAACATTATAATCCAATTAAAAATCCAAAGTCCTTTGTTCAAATACAACCCCAAATTATTGTAACCTGTACCCATTACCATAACCTCATTCAAATCCATTTACGTTACAAACCCTAAACAAGCTGGCCCAATCAACCCAAATTAACCAAAAAGATGAAACTCAAAGGAGACTAGCTTGACGTGGAGTCTGCCACCGCCAACTATGCCCCTTCACCCGTGGCCCTCTCCTCCAAACAGCCTCCACGCTAGCACTAGCAAAAGTGATCTCAAATCCCTTCATATCCGCTGCTGCCTCCTATTATGCACCAAATCAACACAAAAGTAGTAACCATTATTTAAATTAATTAAATTATTACAATCTATAAAATTTTATTATGTCAATTTTATTTACTGATACATTATTTATCTCACCTTTTTTAACAAAGAGTAATAGAAAAGCGTCGGGAGCTAAGCTAATGTGGACGTCATTAATGGACCATGGGAAGACAAAAAAGACATGCACACCAGCCCAAGGACACCAACAAAACCATTTTCTCACTGCATTATTCCAACAAATTCACCTTTCAAAATATTCTTTATTAGTTTAAGTATAAATAAAATAATAAATGTATATATTTGAGGTTTAATTCACGATTTTTCCTTTAAAAGTATATATTTTTTTACTTAGCATTTTGAATTATTTTTTTCAAATTTTCTTTTAAACTGTTATTTTAATTTCAATTTATATAAAAAAAACAGTTGGGTGTCGATAATTTTAAGAGTAAAAATGGAATGAAAATGATAATTTAAAGAATAAACTAAAAAGTAATTTAAAGTGTAAAATGAGAAAAATATATATTAAATATATATTTAAATAGGATAAGTATTAAGCGGCGCTGGAGCGTAGGAAGAGTAGAGGATTGCCGCCAAGAATTTTCATAATTATATAAGATTGTATATATTTATATGTATTCATACATTAAATAAAAAGAAATATTTATTCATTTAAAATAAATTTTATATTATAGATGACAACTTAATTCTCTATATATTGTAAATCTAAAAGTCAAACCTATATTAATTATCATTTTATCATATATTTATATGAATTGTTTAAATTAAATGATTTTATTATTATTTTGTTATTTAAATCATTGTTGCAACTTGCAAGTGATGGAGAAAAGTCGTCTTTGTATGTATGACATGCTTGCACGCAACGCAAGGCACCATGGTTTTCAGAGTCGGACCGGTTAGCGAATCGATCATGTTATCGATTTATTGGTTCAATTGGTCGAATCGATCCGATCGGTCGGAAGGATCGGACGACATCATAATTATTTAAAAAATTAAATAAAAATACCAAAAATATTTAATAAAAAATATTTTTTTATATCACAAGTCATATTCAAAGCAAGTCATAACATATATAAGTTAAAAACCATAAAATCAAGTAAAACAAAATGATTCAAATTAACTACAACATAATATTTAAGGTAAAACATATTAAATAATAAATATAATTATATAACTATAATTAAAAAATAAATTTTGGGTTAAAAAAAACATAACAAAATGATATTGTTTGGTTTAATTTTTTTTTAAAACAATCTCACATTGCTAAAAAACATAGAATAACATCCCAAAAGTCTAAAGAGTAAAAATATGATAACAAAACAATCTCATATTGCTAAGAAACATAGAAGCGCATCACAACTAACTTCTATAAATAATAGAGGTAATTTGACATTCAAAATTATGGAGCCTTTTGGTGAGCATTGAGTGAACTATTCTTTCACTTCAATAAAGCTCGAATTTTAGGCTTCAATCGAGCTTTTAATTTTTTTTTGAGTTCAAGCCTTTTTGAGTTCAAGTTTCAATATTATATTTCGAGTTTGAGTTGAACTTGATAATTTTTAGCTTGTGAGTTTGAGTTGAGTTGAGCTTACTTTTAAAGTTTTCAAGTTCGAGTCGAGCTCAGCAATACTCGAGTTTGACTTGGCTCATTTAACAAACGACGTTGTTTGGTTTATTTAAAAAAAACAAAAATTTCGTTTTTTCCCAGTTTTTCCCGGTTTTCAGCCGGTCCGGTTCGAACGATTCAGCGGTTCTGGACGGTTTACTAATAACGGTTCAACCGGTTTAGATTGAACTGGACTAACAACAATTCCTGATTGAACCGATTAAACCGACTGATCCGGTCCAGTTTTCAAAACTGAGGTCTACACCAAACTGGTAGAGCCGTGTCCCACCTTGTGCTTTCAACTCTAATTTATATATCATTCTTTCAACTTTAATTAAAGAAAATATTAAAAAAAATTATTAAATGGTCCAATAAAGAAGATAATATTGTTATTTTAAATATTTTGAGTTCATATATGTATATTTATAAGTTGTGTATATGTTGTCAATAATTAAAAAATCAAATAAATATTATTTTATAAAAATGAGTAATTTAAGCGAAGGTATTCAATTTTGAAATATGAAAATAATTTATTTACTAAAAAATATTATAATTTTGTAATATTATATTACCCCTTAAAAATAGAAGATGACATTACATCCTACTCTCTTGAATTGTATTTATTATCAATGATTTGATATTATTACCATTAAATAATATTATAAAATCAAATAAAATAACATATGATTTTAAAATTTCATTTGAACCAAAGGACACCCTAAATGTTTAACGAAAGTCATAGTTCAATGTTTATAACGTTTAATATCCAGATTTTAAAGAGAAATGTACCTTTTCATCTATTAACTTTTACTTTGATTTATAATTTGACTTCAGAATTATTTTTTGAACAATTTGACTTCTAATTTTAGTTTTGAATTGTAATTTGACCCTTGATTTTTTATTAGGTTTGATTTGGTTTCTATTTTTTTTATTGGGTGCAATTAGTCTTTAACTTTTTGTTAGGTGCAATTTGATTCCTAATTTTCTAATATAATTTTTTAATAAAATAGTTGAATTTCTATTAACTTGAAATTTGGTTTATAAAGTTTTTAATTATTAATTTAAAATTGTACAACAATAATTAGATGTCATAATGTATATCAAAATCAAAGTTAGAAGTGATGTGTGTAAAAGAAGCATTGAAATAGACGTGTAACAACCTTCTCATTCAAACAAACAAAAAAATCAAAGTTGGAAGTTAATTTGAAAAAAATATATATATTAAAGTCGATAAGTAGTGAAAAGTACATTAACTTAATTTTAAAATATCTCCAACTTAAAATTTATTCGCCCAAAAATAGCCTTAAGCTATATTCAAATATATCAAATTTGCAAATTCATGTCCATTCAAGATTGGACATTTTACTACGAACCACAATCAAGTTTTGTTTTGTCTTTTGATTATGGGGCAAATTACACTAATGGTCACTGAAAATTAGGAAAATAAAAGTTATAAAATAATTATTAATGTTATGATTTTATAACAAATTAATCACTCAATCATCGATTTCTGTTTGATGATGTATCATGTTAGAAAAAGGTTAATATCTAATTTAATCCCTAAATTTTTAATAAAATATAAATTCAGTCCTTTAAATCTTTCTTTAAACATCAATTCTTCTCTTTAACTTCTCCCACCTTTTCTTTTTGTCTTAGATTTATAATTCATTCTTTAACTTTCTCACTATCAAAATAAGAACATTAATTGGGGGGGGGGGAACCCTTCCACTTCCACTTTATCGGCCTAGTCCCATTATCATTGTTATTATCGATCAGTTGATGACAACTAATATGAATTATATTGGTTTAGTAGGAGGAAATAAAACCAAAGGACAAAGGGGAGAGACCTTAATCAGTTTTATTAGATTAGTTTGAGTTAAAATATGCACATATTCTGTGCTGCTTTTAAATTAAAGTTTTTAATATATTTTATAATAATAATTAAATTATTAAATTTAAAATTATGAGTGATCTATTTAAAAATTTTAATCAACTAAAACTAGAAGTTATATAGCTCAAAGGAGTATATAAACCGACTTCATAGGCTAAAGAGTTGAGAAATACAAAACAATGGCAGGAGAAAGCACCCCCCTGGGTTCCATTATTGATCCATGTGAATACCTTCACATCACCATCAATCCCGACGGCACATTAACCCGTAGCCCCGACGCCTTACTAACAGCTCCGCCCAACACCTCCACAGCCACCGCCATCTCCAGGGACATCCCTATCAACCCATCAAACAACACTTGGGCTCGAATCTTCCTACCCAAACAACCCACATCACCCACCAAGCTACCCATTTTACTCTATTTCCACGGCGGAGGCTTTATTATCGGAAGTCCAGATTTGGCCATCTTCCATGAATTCTGCTCCAACATTGCCGGTCAACTCCCTGTTCTCCTCGTATCAGCCGGCTACCGTCTCGCCCCGGAGCATCGGCTGCCGGCAGCTTACGACGATGGCATGGAAGCATTGCATTGGGTCAAAACGGTCCAGGATGATTGGCTGAGAGATCATGGTGATTACTCCAATTGTTTCATTATGGGCTCTAGCGCTGGAGGAAACATGGCATACCATGTAGGATTACGCGCGGCACGGGAAACTGACGATCTTTCACCCTTGAAGATCAAAGGCTTGATATTGCACCAACCCTTTTTTGGTGGGGTCGGAAGGACTGAATCGGAGTTGAGACTAGTGAATGATCCATTTCTCCCTCTCTGTGTCAGCGATTTGATGTGGGAATTGTGTTTGCCGGTGGGTGCCGACCGTGATCATAGTTATTGCAATCCGACGGTGGGGGAAGACAGCTTTGGCGGTTTGGAGGAGATGGAAGGGCTAGGATGGAGGGTGTTGGTTACTGGAAGCGACGGGGATCATATGATAGAGCGACAAAAGGAGTTGGTGAAGATGATGGAGAAGAAGGGAATAAAAGTGGTAGGTCGTTTTGGTGTGGGAGATTTTCATGGCTTTGAATTTTTTGATTCCTCCAAAGCTAACTTATTGTACCTTGCTTTGCAAAACTTCATCTTCTCTCATTCCCTTTCTGTATAAGCTAAACTTATTTTTGTGGGAGGTTTGTATCAAATATTTACCTTTTAATAAATAAATTTCGTTTCCGTTTATATTTGAAATGTGGTTTTTATCTAAATATCACGTAAAAAACAATTATTTCTCAAAATAACACATATTAACATTTAATTTCTGATCTAGCGCTTATTTCTATCATAAAGGTAAGAACATATTTTATAAGAAACACCTTATGCTAATGTGACAGAAGACATGTAACATGATTTAAGTGTTTCACAAGCATATAAGAATACAAGTAGACAAATAATAAAGTAATAAGTAAGATCATTTTTGCAAGTACAGAAAACAAGATCATATAAAAGGTGATATGAATGTAATGTGAAACAAAAGGGAGTAGTATAAAATAGTAATTATAGTAAATATGTAACGGTAAGTGATAAGTCAAAGACAACTGTGAGCTGTCAACAAAATAATTGAGCATGCTAGGTTATTGGGAAATATAGTTTTATTGCCTTACAAATTATTATGGCAATTCTCATTTATCTACTTGTTAATAAGAGATAGTGACGGATCTAAAAAATATTTTTTAAAGTGTGCATATATATATATTAATAACATAAAATTCGTATGGGTGGACACAATAAAATTTCAAGATGGACACCCTTAAGAAAAATGAACTACTAACATAAAAAAATTATATTTCAAGGTGGACACGTACCCACCATAGGCAAAGCCTACATCCACAATTGACAAGAGATCTGACAAGCATGACACAATAATACATGTCTATGTGAATCTCAAATTGATCATCATTGATTTAACCGATCTTTCTAGTCATATGAAATCTTCCCTCATGTCTAAGGAAAATTAATCTTCACTATCTTTCTAATAACAAAAATATGTATCCAATAAAAGAATTCTATAACTTAATTCTTTCAAGATTAAGTAAGTAGATATAATTTATGATTCTCTTCTATGGACCGCTATAAACCAAAATGAAACATAAATATTGGATAAACAACTAGATAAACAAAAATCATCATAAAATATTAGAAGTTTACAAAACCATAGTCCCAAATAACTCAAGTCAGATAAATTTAGTTCATGGTTTGGCGCAAATCATTCAAGATGAAAATTGGGGGTTTCTATTTTTCTCCTAACAATATGTGTTCGTCCTTTTAAAGAGAAGACATTCGCAAAATTTAAATGTACTTTATCTCCTTAAATTAAGAATTCTCTTGATCGGATTTGATTCCTTCATTTCCTCCTTCCTTGGTTTGATTTGATTCCTTAATTCCAAAAAGGAATAATATTCTAGAGGGAAATAATCTATATCTTGCAGAAGACCACCAAAGAGGCTTCTTCTCCACAAATGACATCCTAAAGATGGGGCACAAATAAAATTTTCGAAAATGCATATGCAATATACTAATGCAACTATATCATCGTGAATTCAAACAAATATCCAAACATAAAGATATAAAACATATCCTTTGTACAGAGTTATCAAGGCGCGTTTTATAAAAACACGTTTTGCAAGAAACACATTTTGCAACAAATGTCTTTTTGCTTATCTCAATCAAATTCGACTGAAATGAAAGAAAAAAAAATTCAAAATTTTTTTAAAAAATATATGAATTTTGTCACAAACAAAAAAAATGCACGGTACATATCAAGATCGTGTAATTAACAAGTCAAGTTGGATAACAACTATGTTGTATATTAACCTTATGTTTAATCATTCAATAAATCAATGCTTAAAATATTATATTTAGATACTTGAATATCCACGTATTCAGGGGACAAAATTTAAAAAAAATTGATTGTTAAAATTAAAAAGAATAATAATTAAGTCGCCATAGGTTATAAATCACTAATAATAATAATAATAATAATAATAATAATAATAATAATAATAATAATAATAATAATAATAATAATACATAACAACAATCTGTCAAAATTTACTTTAATCAACATAAAGCGAGTGAAGGGGAAGATGAAGATCCATATGAACAAAAAGAGTAGATTCATTGTAGACCCAACTTACACTGCTATGCTTCTTCGTATAAACTAGGGGGGAAAAAGCGCAATGGCGACAAGCACGACACACCTACAAAACTTAAACCCACCAACATATACCACAAGAATAAATCCAATGATTTTTACACCAAAACTGTCCTCTCCAAACCTAAACTTTAAGACCCAAACTACACGTTTCTTCTCTTCTTTTTTGTCTTTCCTTTGTCCGAAGATCGAAACAACCGAAAACTGTCAACCTAATATTTTCAAGCTGTGCTGAATTGATATGTATCAGACTTCAGAAGGTATAATTGGCTATGAAATTCTATAAAATTTCTAGTATCCTGTTTTGCGGCGTTTCATTCCACTGGAATTAAAAGGATAAACACTGCCGCTTGGACCAGGACTCTCCTCTCTGAAATTTGAGTTTAGCCTTGCCAGTTCACGTAATTGCTGCCTCTTGATAAAATCTTGCAAACTCTTCCTACGTATGCGAATACGAAGTTTAGACGTTAGAAGATGAAGTATTTATTAACAGTTTCAATACAATAAAGCCTGCAACTTGGTAAAAGAAAAGGAGAATGCAGTGCACATTGTTCTGCAGCACAATCATGAGGATGGTACCCTTTGACAGAGGAAAGAGCTCACGCAAGAAAAGGAAGGAAATTTATACTTTACAAATAATGAAGTCTAGAGGCGAATGCCTATATCAAAGTAACCTATGGCTAATGAACTTTCTAGAAAAAGGGATCGAGATTGCGGTACATACCACAGGTTTGAGCAACTCCTCTACGATTTCCTGCACCTGTCTAAGCCTTATATCAACAACGTTAGCAGGCAAATCAGCCTCAATCAAGATGTGAAGTGGATCATTCAGGTGCACGTATCCAGGTCTGCCTCTCAGCTTTTCTTCCTTCAGATGGAAAAGCAAACATGAAAAACTGTTCTGTATTAAATTTAACATCAAAAGAAAACGATTGGGGGGTGTCCTCAGATCCTGCCATCTAGAAATTCATTGCATTTTCCAGCCAGTTTCAGCTGAATCACAATAGAGACATGTAGCCCAAAACTAGAGGCACTAAACCATTACAAAAACAAGAATAGTAGAAACTTAGGTAGCTTTACCTTCTCTGGATCTTTTATTGATCCTTTGCCTCTAATGTATATCCGGCAGCCGGTAGTAGCTTCTACCCGCTTTAATGAATTGCCTCTAGGGCCTAGAAATCTACCGACAAAATTGAACTAAAAATAAAGGAAAAACAGAGTCTAGAGATCAATAAGCATAAAAAGGTTTGTTCATTCAATTGAAATCTCAGAATTTTAATCCAAAGCACTAGCATTTTTCATATAAGGCTTACTGTTGGATATGTATCAACAGGAATCTCAAGATGCAAAATCCTCTTCACTGTGTATGAACTAGGGCTTGCTGGAGCACCTTGCCAGTCCATTGTCACTCCAGGGGGTCCACTGAATCTCTGTCAAAATAAAAAAATCAACCATAGAAAAAAATATAAGATGGGTTAACTCACTCGAGTACTCGACTTTCCAAGAATAACTTCTCGAGACAGCGAACGTATTTACTGGAACTCTTTGCATTTCAAGCACTTCAAAAAGAAAATACCATTCCTGAAACCATAGCATTTTGGACAAGAAACAAACTTGATTATCATCTGTGTTTTAAAAGAGGATCCATGTTTAAATAAAATATTGGAGATTAAACTATTTTTTTGCTAGAGTCATCAAGCAGATGCAAAGAGGATAGATGAAACTCAAATATCCACCATTTAGCAGGAGTGCTTTCATTTAGTGACAATTTGTCCATTTTCCTCGTTCTTATTTCATGAATTGAGCTTAGAAACCAAATTTTTTGGGGAAAAAACAGCATTTTTTCATGTATTTCGTGAACAGATAAATGAAACCTGTAACGTGCCAGATAAGGTATAAAACTAAACTCATTAGCCTTTGGAGATGGTCTGCAATTTTTTTTTTTTGATAGAAGAGTATGCCTCATTAAAAACCCATTTCTAACCCTCCATGTTATGTCAGTAACATGAAAGATCAAGGATGGAGGAAAAGAGTGCCTAGAAAATTTTATTCATAAGAACAATAATACATAGTTAGAGAATAACATACTCCAAAACCTCCAACTGAAGAACATAAGACTTAACTCAAAACACCTTACAACACAGGAAATTACATTTCCTACAAATCAACACAACCAATATAAACCAAGAAATTACCCTATCCCATCTTTAGCTAGTTTATCAGCTTCTCAGTTTGCCGTCCTCAAAATATGCTTAATAATAATATCCTTTCTTGCCAAAAGCGCAACTATATCATTCACCAAGGATAGAAACATAGGGGTGCATAAACCCGAATTCTTGATCCACTTCATAGCATTAGTTGAGTCAGATTCCAGAATAAACCTCTTATTAGGAACAAAACCTAGCTCTTCCATAAGACAAAGCCCCCTCTTAATCGCCAACAACTCTGCCATGATAGGAGGACCTCCCCTACTGCTTCAGAGAACCATTGAAGCAACACACCTCTACTTTCCCGAATCAGACCACCAATACCTCCTTTATCCCAGCCCGATACCATCGCTCCATCAACATTTAACTTTAAGAACCCATCCGGGGAGGAACCCAGCAAAAAGATTGAGAGCAGCCCTGTCGTTGATTTCCCCTCGAATCGGCAAGTTTGAAATCACCTACTAGGGAATCTAAAGGAATAACCACATCGTTGAACCTTGCAACAAACCAGGAAGCTACTCTAAATCGAATAATGAAAAACAGTCTGACCAAATCCAGCTTTCCATTCTAAAAGATAATCTCATTTCTACATTTTCACATTGACCATATCACTGCCCTTGGAATGAATTTCCAGATCGAAGATTTAGGAATAAATCATCCCACAAAATGAAAAAATCAGTGATATGCTTTGGGATCACTAATGACACATTCCAAATTTTCAAAAATGTTGTCCACATGCCCCACACTATCTTACAATGCAGAAATAAATGTGAAACTGAATCCACCTCTCGACCACACAATACACATAGATGATCAACAATCTCTGTTACACATCTCTTCAATAATTCCTCTTTAACCGGCAATCTCTGATGCGTTACTTTCCAAATAAACGTTTCCACCCGTGGAGGTGCAATCCCTACCCAAATATGCTTTTCCCAATTCTCCTGATTCTGCCCAGACCCATCTCGGTCAATGAAAGTGTTAATACAAGATTTCGCTGTAAAGCAACCCTCTCCATTCCCTAACCAAATCCAATAATCATCTACAACAGGATATAGGGAGATATTATTCAACATAGTAAGCAACTGTAACCACTGTTCAATTTTCTAATCAGCCAAATTTCTTCTCATTTGGATGTCCCACACCCACCCTGAGTCATTATTCTCCTCAAACTCTATCACTTTACCCTCTTTATTGTTAGAAAGAACATAAAGTCTAGGGAACATAACTTTCAAGGGAACTTCACCCAACCAAACGTCATTCCAAAACTCCACATATACCCCATTCCCTATCTTCAACCGCATATTCCTTCTAAGACAATCTCCAAAACCATCATTGTTGAAGAAATTTTTAACCACACCTTTCCAAATCCACGATGCACGGCCTGACCAGGAATTCCCCATCATAATGGAATTTGGATCCAAATTATAAACACCACACACCACTCTCTTCCACCAAGACTTCTTTTCTGATACAAACTTCCATACCCATTTCCCTAGCAAAGCTCTGTTCAACAGTGATAAGCTTGGGATCCCTAGACTCCCCAATTTTTTTGGTTTAGTAACCAACTTCCAGTTGAGCCAATGAATTTTTTTCTTATCTGTCGAACCCCCCACATAAATGAAGCCATGATAGAATTCAGTTTTAGTAACACAGAAGCTGGAATTCTAAAAATGGACAGAAAATAGACGAGGAGATAGCAGAGTACTGATTTGGCCAACACCACCCTTACTGCTAACGACAAGGAATTAGCCATCCACCCACTCAATTTCGCATGAAATCTCGCCACTATTGACTCCCACATAGCCGCTGAATTTCTCTTGTGGTAAGCCTAAATATTCTGATGGAAGATATCCTACCGAGCAACCAATATCATTTGCCTAAGTAGCCAACTCTCCATCCTCAACATTAATACCATAAATCTTGCTTTTAACTAGATTTAGCTTCAACCCCACCAAAAGCTCATAAATTAGTAACATTCTTCTAACATTTCTCAAATCACGGATAGATCCTTTACTGAAGATTATAAGATCATCCGCGAATTGTAGATGTGATAACTTAAATGCCCTGTCATTAACTCCTAAATCAAAACCCGAAAACAATCCCCTTTCACAGCTTTAGTCAACAACAAATACAATAACTCAGCAGCCAAATTAAATAGCAAAGGCGAAAGCGAACATCCCCGTCTTAGTCCCCTGGCTGTTTTAAATTTCTCCGTATGTGACCCATTTACCAAAACCGAAATCGAAGCTATTAACATACATTGAAACACCCAAGACCTTCACTTGTCACCAAACCCCATTTTGCTTATTGCTTGCATCAAAATTGACCAATCAACCGATTTTAGAGTTTATTGGTCAATACTAATAAAGCAAGGGAAACCACTTTAAACTTTATTGTCTATATGTGGTCTTTATGATGCCATAGGACAACAATACTTGGATGTTATGGTTCCCCTTGGCAATTTTATTATACATTCATATTATTATGATGGTTAGAAGATATAATCGTAGAGCGAGTTTCAGAGAATTAAAAAGCATAAAGAACTAGTCAGTTTCAGTTTTACCCAAATTGTCAATTTATAGGCATGACACAGATATTGTGCATTTAAATGAAAAGAACTCAAGCAACCAAACAAGAGAGAATGTGGACTATATTTATAGACGTAGACACGCATATACAAAATATACAAAATAAAGATGCTAAAATGAAAATTTTAATAAACAGTTACCTCTTGAGGAAGGCTATTCCAACTGCTTAATCATGTCCCATAAACATTTGACATAAGATTTGAAGAAGCCAGGGGAATGAGGCTTCTATGCCTCATCCGGTCAAAATCACCAAACCCTTGGTTGGACATCATTCCTGAGACCCGAAATATCTCTGCATATGAAGACAATTATATACAAGAAAGGGATGGCATGGCATTATGAAATCGTGTTAGTGCATGAAAGGAGTATATCATTCAAAATAAAATCAGAAAGACATAAAAGGATCACGGTGGATAATGGAAGATTTTAAAGCACAGATGGAACATCAACCATAAGTAAATAAACCAATCTCCGTCTGTTAACCATTTCAAGGCAATACCTATAAAAACTTAGAATCTGATTTCTGAAAACATCCTGAAATATGGAAAGAATATAGAAGGGGAAGAAAAAACTAGCTGTAGATATATAAAATTATCTTCAATGCAAAAAAAAAGGGATGCATAAGCCTATGAAAAACATTTCTTGTCCAAACTAACCAAGATAATTAGCTCCATTCTTACACTCAAATTCAATATTAGAAATATTTTCTGATTAAAATTTAGCAGAAGAACTGGTCTAACAAGTGCTTCTCCTTTTCTATTCTAGCTTTCCAATACTCATACTATCTTCTGAAGGCACAAGTAAAACTCCAACTGCAATAAGTTTTCGAAATCCAAAACTTACGAATCTCTTCAAATGCATCTATGACAAACACACGACATTTAATCAAGAGGGGGAAAGACCACATAAGAACCAATGTAGACCCAAAGCTTGAAATTAGAACAACATCTAATAAGAACAACAACGATCATGAGTGACTTTGTTGTAAACAACTAATTCAAGTATTGAGACACTATCCAGAACACAATGGTGTGGTGAGAGTGATCATGTTTCAGCATATACCATAACAATCAAAGAGAAAAAGCATTAAGAAAAGAAACACATTTGAACATCTCATCACTCAGACTGATCTAACATGGGTAATTTAAAAGCAGAACAAACCCAGAGAGAGAGAGAGAGAGAGAGAAAACCTAGATCCAAGAGTGTGAGAGTAAAGTAGTAACCTTGATTTAGCAGTCGGCTATATATCAGAACAACTTGCAAGAAAGGTCCAAGCTTTTGATACTTTGCCAACAACTCTGATAAGTATTGACTGAGGAGGGCAAAAAAAACCCACCCAAAAACCCAAACAGATCCAAAAAAGGAGAAAAATCAGCAAGAATATGGATGAGAAGAAGGATATGAAGTTAAAATTTTGGCTACCTCTCAACCTCTGGAGTAGTTCTAATTTGAGGAGAAGCAGCTCTTGCAGGTGAGAAGTTGGAATTGTATAGTCCTGACATGTTCTTGCTTTCTAGGATCAATCCCTTGGAGAAATAAAAGAACTAGATTTTGATTAAAAATAAATAAATTATAGTGGTTTTTGGAAAACCATTATAACATTAGTAAAAAAGGGCAAAAGTGTTTGAATAATGCAATGGAAAAAAAATTCTTCATATATTGCAGTCGAACAATTATTTGCTTAAGTAGGGTGATTGTTACAATGACCACCATAGGTCTCCAAGAGCACATGGCGACCTCCATAGGTCTCCAAGAGCACACGACGACCTCTGGAGCAACAACAACGAGGGAAGAGATAAGAGTTGTTGCAACAGAAGAGGGTTTGTCGCAAGGAGCACTTGGCGACTAATGAGGTTATTGTAGCAAACACCCCAGTTTAAAAAATAATTTAGATAGAGCACTATATGGGAAATTTTTTTTCAATGCCCTACATGGGCGAGGAAATCGTAAAAAAGATGTATATACATATAAGAAAAACAACCAATAAAAGTGGGAAAAACTTTCGAGATAATGTTCTCGAAGAAATTAATTCACGAGATAATGCACTCCCCAGATTAATTGCTCAAATAGGGTGAAATCCACAGTGTTGGTCGCAGGTCGCCATGCCATCCGGGCGACCTACTAGGTCGCCATGTCTTCCCGACGAGCTACGAGAGAGATTGCATGTGCCATGCACATCCCAACACGCTGGGCATCCGAGGCCATCCAAGCGAGCTATACGAGGGCATCTGAGCGAGCTATGTGAGGGCATCCGAGCGAGCGAGAAAGGCTAGGTCGCCATGCACGCTGGGCGACATGGTAGGTCGCCATGCATGCTAGGCGACATGGTATCAAATCATTACTAAATCATCAAATCATTAAATATTAAAATCATTATCAAATCATTACTAAATCATTATTATTAAATCATTATTATAATGATTATTATTAAATCATTATTATAATGATTATTATTAAATCATTATTATCATTATTATTAAATCACTATTATAATGATTATTACTAAATCATTATTATAATGATTATTATCAAATCATTACTAAATTATCAAATCATTAAATATTAAAATCATTATTAAATCATTTTTACGGTTAATTGAACCACACGTCCATTCAAATATGTTCAAGTCCTCGAATTATAATTGTCATATCAATTATGTCCCTCTATTTAAAAACTCCGCTCGAATAATTTATCGACAAAAATTACATAAATTCAACTTCAATGTGAAGATATAATAATTTATCACCCTATTAGTATCAAATTATTATTATAATTTCATTATTACTAACAATTACTAAATATTACTATCAAATCATCAAATATTAATAATAATTTAATTATTACTAATCATTACCAAATCATTAAATATTAATAATAATTTCATTATTACTAATCATTACTATCAAATCATTAAATATTAATAATAATTTCATTATTACTAATCATTACTATCAAATCATTAAATATTAATAATAATTTCATTATTACTAATCATTACTAAATAATTATTATAATTTTAAATATAAATTCATTATTAAATCATGATTATCAAATCATTACTAAATCAAATCATATCATTATTACAAATCAAACAAGTGTTCCATGGATGATTATTAATTATGTAACGAAAATGACGTTAATTGAACCACACGTCCATTCAAATCTGTTCAAGTCATCGAATTATAAATCATTACAAAATTAAATCTGGATAAATACATAGAAATACATATATTATCACTAATGATGAGGCCTATATCTTGGTAAATTAGGACAATTGTTTTTTGAATGGCCTTCACCCCTACATAATCCGCATCTCTTTGCTTGACCTCTCTCTAGCATGGAAATCCATACTGGTATGAATACGAGTCGACTCTGGGCCATATTTTACACATTCTGATCTTCCACTTGCACTCTGGGTCATATTTTACACACTTCGCGTATAGGGTTTTCTGGTTGGACTCTGCAACATGGACATCAACATCATTTGATGCAATACTCTTTAATCGCCAGCGTAGCTTCATTTTTTCCTCTGAATTGCACCCCAACTGAAAATTCGCTAGAATTATCGAATGTTTCAGTCATTTGTTACGGAGGTAAATGTGGCATGTCTGGGAATTCAGGTGCCCTCATCGTATCATAGTCTATCTCGTACATATGAGGAGTAACTTCATACGGTGCCGAAACTTCATCAATTGCACATCCACCGAAAATATTTTCATCGTCGCCCAAAATGGGTTCTTCGGTTTCTTCATCTTCGCTTGAATCATCATGAATTTCTCCCCATCGATTTTCAGCATCAATATCAACAACCAATTCTGGTATGTTTCTCGTCTCATACTCTGTTGTTGCAGATGCCCCTCCGACTTCATTTCCACTTTCCAATAGTGCCATAAAACTGTTCGGGAACCTGTATGTCAGCTCCTCAAACTCCCTATATAAAGCCATTTCAGATGGATTTTGAGCCACACCTCTTGATGACCCAGGAACATCACATATGTTACGCACATCAACAAATAACTCAATAACTGCTATATTTATTGACTCATGTAATCCAACCATGGTTCCAATATCATCATCTTCTTCAAGTGGAAGTGCAGCATATCTGACTGGGTTGGGGCATATCATAAACCTACATCTCAAACCATCAACTATAGCTCGAATTTTTCTTTTTATCTTATGCTTCAATTCTATAAATGTGATGTCTTTTTTGAACATCATATTTATTGGTTTTTCAGACTGAAAAACAACTCCGGCCTTATTTTCCATAATCTGTCCATTATAATGGACAATCGTGAAAAAGTTGTTGCTCATTTTCTCTACAAATAAAAAAATAAAAAAATTAGATAAGATAATTTCATAAATCATTAAATAATTAAATATAATATAATATACTATTATATTAACGATCAAATAAAATTTGTTATTTAACTTGATTGATTACTAATATTACTAATAATGATTTAATAATTATTATTAATCTAATGATTTGATATTTAATAATTTAATAATAATATGATTTAGTCATGATTAATAATAATTATTTATTATAAATATTTAATGATTTAGATTTTATACTAATCATTTAGTAATGATTACTAATAATAATGATTAGTTTGATAATATTTTTTATTTTTTTTAAATATAAAACAAATTTGTTAGGCAAAACTGTCGAGATAATGTTTTCGAAAGAATTATTTCACAAGATAATGCGTTGGCCGGATTATTTCATTCAATTAATTTGTACTCATTACTAATTTACACATATAATATAAATTAAACAAAATATTTTTTAAAAATGACACTAAATATTTTTAAACACAATATTTTTAAACGGGAATTAACTCGCACAAATTAGTTTATATAATCTAATATAAACTTACTAACTAATTTACACATACACAACAACAAAAAATGGACAGCAAAAAATAATAAATTATCCGCGTATTTATGCCTTCTTCCTTTCCTTTCTTGTTTCTTTCTTCGAATCAATCTGTATGTGGGCAAATGTTGAGGAATAATGTCATGTACGTGTAAACAAAATATTTCTTTAAGCAACAATAAATTAAACAAATTAATTTTATATAATCTAATATATTATAATATAACTTAAACTAATAAACTATTTCTTTATTATAATATAACTTAGTTAAAATAACAAACTAACAAACTAATTAAGCACTAATTAATTTTTTTATAATATAACTTTAACTTCAACAAACAACCTAATATATATTTAAAGACACTAACAAATTAATTCATTATTTTTTTACATTTAATAACTTAAACTAAGAAACTAATTAACTAATTCTTTAACAAACTAATATAATATATAACTTAAACTAACAAACTAATAATTTATACTAACAAAATAATTAACTAAATTTTAGTTTTACCCTAAACTAACAAACTAATAATTTCATATAATAAACTAAATTAAACAATAAAAAATTACCTCACGAACGATGTTTGAGCCTTTATCTTCTTTTCTTCTTCTTCCTTTTCTTTCTCACGGCAAAATTTATATATGTGCTTCTGCTTCTGCTTCTACCCTAAACCCTCATATCCTTTATATAAAGCAAATGAGCGTTGGAGATCGTCATTAAATTTGACTGTTGAAGAAAATAATATTGAGCGTTGAATCGTGTAATTATTGAGCGTTGAAAGGCTGCAATTCAACAACAATATTTGCTGCATTTAACAGCTAAATTAACGCTGCAATAATGTAGCTATGGATGCAGGAATCTCCCAGCTATGGCATGCAACGCATGCATGAGGGAGTAGAGGGTTAAAGCTTGGTCGTCGGGTGTGCATGGCGACCTACCATGTCGCCCAGCGTGCATAGCGACCTACCAGGGCATCCGGGACTGCATGGCGACCTACCCCAAGAACATTCGACATGCATGAGCCATGCACAGCTCCCACATGCATGCATAGCTCGCCCTGAGTGCATGGCGACCTACTCCTTGGTCCACAGATGCCATGGCGACCTACAGCTTCACTGTAGAATTCACCCTATCTCAACAAATAATATGTCCAAAGCATTATCTCGTGAAATAAAAAGTTCGAGAACATTATCTCGTGGATTTTGCCATAAAAGTGTCAACAGCTGTATTAGAAATTTGCTGAAAGTAAATCTTTATGGTAATTTAATAATTTTATCCAATTTCCATTGATTTTCCTTTTACGATTGCATGCTTATAGGTTAAATAAACGTAAACTCTAATATTGGTATTCGTCTCACGTATTTAGTTTACTTTTGTTTAACCCAAATTCGCCCTCTTAAAATATAAATAAATAAACTGTTGCTTAAAATATTGAATTAAATGAGTTTTTATTTGAAAAGTTATAATTAAGTATTTAAAATTTCATTAATTGTTAAACAGATTGGCGATAATTAATTGAGTTGGCATGGCAATATATGATTAATTAAAATTTATTTTGTTATAAAAATTATTAAAAAATGTTATAAAAATTAAAAATAACAAGTTTTTTAAAATTTTATATAATTTAAAGTTTGTAAAAATATAACAACTTCAATGTACTCTAAAAATTATAAAACAAAATTTTATCATTTTTGTTATACTGCTAATTAGTTTTATTGTTTTGGATCTTTTAATGATTTTATAAAATAGATGTACTTTCGTATGAACTACAAGGTGACTTGAATGATAATTCAACCCAATTTTATAATGTAGACACTTATTTTTTACCTCTTAATTAGTCACGATTAGAGATGAACTTAAGAAAAGTTAGATTTTTAGTCGTCTCAATTTTGATTTGAAAGGTAGAAGTCTTCACTCTTCCCATCTTGTTATACTTTTTATTAAATATTCTCTAACATCTCTTGAGAACATCACTGAAAGAAGAATCTCGAACATCTAATATCCCTCAAGAAGACGCGATCTATTGACATATCTCTAACATGATTTACTAGAGTCGAATTCATCATCATTTGATCGTATCTACTTAGTCTGCTAATCTGGGAGTAGTCATATAACACTACGTCTAACAGTCGCATTAGGAGTCACTTTAAAAACCTATCGAGTAAGACCGAGAAAAATGATGGAATCACATCACCTCTACTTTATTCTTTACTACCTTGTTATAGAGACAAAGAACATTAAACTGACCAACAATCAATCTCTCATCGACTGTGGCTCTCCGTCCAAACCAATAAGTTGAACCGCTTATAGTTGTCGTAACCTAATTATTCCCATCAACAAATAATGCAATGAGCATAAAATACCTCCTTAAAAAAAAGAGAAAACAAATTGAGTGGCCGAAAATGTCTTATAATATACGATTTTAACAAACTTTTTTTGGATTTGCAAAAATAACCAACAAATTCGTAACGCGATTTCGAATTCGCGACGCTAATTCCTAATTCGCGACGTTAATTCCTAATTCGAACCGCGAATTTCGAATTCGTGATGCAAATTTCTAATTCGCAATACGAATCCTGCTACATACAGAGATTTCAAAAGTTATTCAAAAGCGATAAAGCAAAACATGATAAAATAAAAATCATCAAAATTAGTTCTCTTAATATTTGAGATAAAATAAAAATCATCAAAATTAGTTTGAATCCAAGCACAAGTTAGATACTATATCCTAGGCCTAGCTCAATTTGAAGAGTTTTATAAATTATAAATAATAAAATATCCCTTAACAACCGGTTTAGACCATACATCCTTTTTTTTCCCTATAAGCATGAGCCAGAGTAATGTTTTTATGCTAAAAAAGTATAGATATGGTTTTCCTCTTTAACCCAACAGTAAGTAAAAAGGGTTAAAATATAATTTTATTATTTTAAAATTAAAATATTAAGAGAATTAATTTTGATGAATTTTATTTTATCATGTTTTGTTTTATCGTTTTTGGATAACTTCTAAAATCTCTGTAAGTGACAAGATTCGTGTTGTGCGAATTAGAAATTCGCGTCGCGAATTCGAAATCGCGTTGCGAATTTGTTTGTTATTTTTGTAAATCTACAAAAAAATTAGTTAAAATCGCATATTATAAGATATTTTCGGCCCCTCAAATTATTTTCTCTTAAAAAAAAAGGCAAAGCAGACAATATCATCCTCCAAATCTTCTTCTAAAATCTTCCCCGACGTACGTAATTAGTTCTGATCGACGCCTACATAATCAAGCAATAAAACCTTCACGTGCGACCAAACATCTCTCAAAAAACGAGACTGAAAGTGGAATATACTCTTATCATTCAGTTCTGTTTCAACACGCATTGGAAATCGACATAATACTATAGATCACGAGACTTCATGCCCATTGAGATATCTATAAGACCCCAAACTTGATCACTGTTAGATGAGCATGAGATGCCATATTGAGTCACCGAAGGAATAACCAATTTTAAAATCTTTTTTATTCATTTTAAAATCATAATATAGGTCAAATAAAATATATCTATAACAACTATAAAATATTTGTACGTGAAATTATTTGATTTTTTTAGTTTAAATACAAGATAATACAAAAATAGAGTTTATAGATCAAATACATAAATAACATAATATTCAATGCCATTGGATCAATTAATTGTTGATGTAGAGTCTGTTGAAGCGAACATTATAGATGATTACAAGATAGTATATGATTGTAATTTTTTTAACCATCAATAAAACACACACATCTTGCAGATGTAACTACTCGAATCCAAAATCTCTAAAGATAATAACACCCCCTTTAACCACTGAATTCGTTGAATAAATTATATTTGTTGATAATTTTTTAAGAATAAAATCCACCTTTTCGTTATACTTTGTTAGTCCATAGGTTTATCCTCTCAAATGAAAAAAATAATAGACCATTTACATCTTTTTCTACTTTAAATAGAAAAAAGAACAGATGTAGGCAGTGGAATAATTAAAATAGCATGACTGATATAATTTTTTCCCATTTAATATGTTCCCTGCTTTAGTAATTTCTTGCAGTCCTAGCTTGGAATATTCCTAAGCTCAATGGTCAACTGAGACTCAAATCTATGAATAGAACCTCTGCTATACATATAGGTCCATGACAGGCACTCACATTCAACAATGCCATACACTTGGACCGTTGTACATCCTGGGCCTAGAGGCGAGACACGTCTAAGATGTCGGCAAAATTCGACCGTTGTACATCTTGTCAAGCAATTTCCGTGCATCGGGCCTCCTTAGAAGACCTTTGTTATTCGGTAAACCAGTACCTAAACAAACAGGGCAAACCAGTTTCCCCCGGCCTGCTCACAGCAGTAGCCAGAGATGAGTTATATAATGTGTATAATTTACCATTGTTGCGGAAAGCAAAGATAATGATACAAATCTGTGAGAAGTTTAAAAGTAATCCCGAGTTAATTAATCGCAATGTGGAATGATCTCCGGTTCATGGTCAAGGCAAGTAGTGCAGCTAAAAACTTATTTTGTTGATATAGAGAATCAATAAGTAATGCTAGTGGAAGAAGAGTCCATACCGCAACAGTTTGGACATTCTGTAAACTCGTAAACATCCTTAGCACGTTTCCGGTTGAGAGCTTTCCATTTTCCTGTACCACCACACATATCACCTAAATAAGGAACAAATTAACATCTTGTGAATCGGAAAGAGAATTAACAATCGCAGCAGACTCTTAACAACGATGTTCGCAAGCCTCTTCTTCTTTAGAAGAGAATAAAAAGAACAAGTTAACATGTCAGGCAACGAAAAGATAGTTATACGCCATGAATAATGACAAAATCGAACCAGAATATTTGCATACAACGAGAAATTTCCCTAAATGGTCCATATAATTTGAAAAAGGAAGGGTCCCATGACAACAACAAAAAGAAGCACAACCACATCCTGTAGGACAGAGAAAAATAGACCGATCTAACCAGCTTGCTACGTGGACATTACTAATGCATTGAAATCAATAAATGGAGCCGGGACTTTTGCGCTGTTTAAGACTAGTCTTTTTATTATACGATAGTATAAGTAAAGCAGGGCAAAGGACAATCTGAAAGAAGATTATAAGATGCATACATGTGCAGTTCACTTGGTTAGACAAAAGAGTATTAGAAAGAGGTATGAAAGAAATCGCAAAGTGAAACTCACAAAGTACAGCACCACTCCCCGACAATTCCGGCATACGGCCCTTTCATTCCCATCCATAGTAACAGCAAATGCTGCGGAAGCAGAGTTTCTAGAACTGCTGATTAAAGCTAGACTTGAACATAAACATGCAAGACACAAAAGCCGTGATGTTGATAGCTCTTCCGCCTGCAGAAAAGTCGGAACCTGAAATGAAGACCATAAGAAAGGTTGCAAATAATGAATATTCGACCCGATCAAGTACTAATCTGAAGTAACCAAATGATGAAATGAAAGATGTTGTGAGTCGTGACTTTGAAGAGTACGAACAAAATAGATGCCGGAAAAGAAATAAGTGAAACCTTCTTCCTACCAGGTTCTAATGAATCATTTGAAACTCCGGGAGTAGAGCTCTCATTTTCCAAACTGAATCTTATTTGAACTGCAACTGACCTTGAGCTTGCTGTCATTTAAAACACTGGTATTGTTCAAGAAAAACCATAAATACATAAAACTACATGCTTTGGCAGCAAATGGGGCAACACCTCAAATCCAAAGCTAATAGGAAAATCAACATGAATACGGAAAATTTCAAATAAATCTCATTACATAATCCAGGAATTCACAAAAGCTTAATATTATGAAATTACGTGGACTTCTAATCCAACTTTCAGATGCAAAAATGGAGCCATTTTCTATATCCACGCTCATAGCATTGAAAAGCTCCCAATTCACTGGAGAGAAAAAAAAGGAATTTTTTTTTTGAGAAAACTAACATAAAGGGGTAAGGAATCTTCATGGAACAGACCTAGTATCAGGAGGCAGAATTTCGTGTTAGCCGGCAAACTTTAAAATTTTAGGAGAGATGAACTTATAAAAATATATATATAAAATATTTTAGAATTTAAAATTTTCAAAGACAACTATCCCACCCGCACTCATCTGTCCATCCCTAACTATGACAAAATTTCAGAATTTGGATAAAAAGGATTAGCATGAATGTAGAAAACAAAACAACCCATGAATTTAAAATTATCATCATAATTCATAGATGAGATAATAAGGATTACAAAGGACTTGAAACCCATTGAAAGGAAACGATAAGCAATTCAGTGGTGTAAAAGCAACCCATAACACCAATTCTTTACACAACTAAATATATAAAGACAATGAAAGAAAGAACTTACAGTGATATGATGGGGAAGGTTTTAAAGTGAAAGATGGAAGCTGTGGAATTGACGAGTAAGCCATTTAACTCAAACTTTTATCTTTTTCTTTTGTTTTTTTTTTTCCTGTGAAAAGTCCAGGAATACTATCTATATCCAAAACGCCCATTTCTCGCCAACCAAAGCCCCTTTAAAACAAAGAATAGATATTTTTTTAAGTTAGAAAAGAGATTAGATTCTCTGGTTTACGGTTTCACTTTCCATCTCATCACAAGCCTTACTACGTGGCATGGTCCAAATTGCTAATCTGAGTAACAGAGTAAGCTTCTTCTTAGGATTGGTTGAATGAAGTTTATAAATGAAATTAATATATGTACTTTAAATTTTATAAAAATATTTATATAATTTTTATTTTATTAAATTAATTTATTTTTACTTTATATATTTATTTATATTTATCATATTTTTACATCGTCTACCTACACAGTTAACTAATACACTATTCCCTAAAGGATTAATAGTTATGATCGATGGTTCTAAAGTTGATTCATATTCTTTAATTAATAGAGTGCATATGTATGAATGAGCAGATTCAGGGTCCATGGATACAATGACAAGTCTATTAAACAATTCAAAAGTATATGCAATCACATCATCTTCTTCACGAGCATGAACATTATACACAGGAGTCGGACTATCTAAATCCCGACAGGTTATTATAGCTGACTATCCTCTCCATCATACAAAAGTACTAGACTGAGCTCTAGTAGGTCCTCGACCTTTTTTAGACTGCAATGAAGTATAAATCTTCTGGGATGAACCTAAACTCTATCAGGATTATTAGGGTAATCCCTAAAGAAATGACTCTGCATGTAATAAGTTTGTGGCCTTCACCAGGATGGTCTCTCTCGTTATAGGGATGGAGGTGTAGCATCCATCTATTGCTTAGCATCCATCTAGCAATAGAGGATCTTCAGGTATCTCTATCTCACTTGGAAAGGCATAACATGAAACAAAACAAAACCCAAATAGAGAAGGAATTTTCTTATTACAAACTAAGATTACAACTACACCACAACAGGCATATGAAGTTGGCTCGTTTCAACAAAACACAACACACCCTACTCGCTATAACAGACTATTAAAAACATCATCTAAAAACTATTACAGCTGCCCTACTATGGGGACATTATTATTACCTAAGAACACAACACATCCAGAAAAACACCCGCTACCCCAATTCCTCCTGTTACACATTCCGGGACCATTACAGCATAAACATAAAGAGAAGTTGCATACGGCTTCTTTATGTTTGTTGCCCCGAATGCACCCAAGGGACACTCTCCCTTTTTCGAGACCTTAGAGCTTCACTTCTCTGTCAAAGATCCAACTGAATGCCATGCTGGGCCCTTCCTTTGCCCTTTCTTGTGCTCTCTCCTCCAGCTTTCTAATTCTTGACGGAAGAGCGCACACGTAGTCCTGTGCTTTACGTCCCTCTGGTGAAAGCCCAGTTAGCTCCTCCACCTTCCATCGGTTCACAAAGAACTCCACTATATCAACGTAGTCCTTGGCGGTGTAAACCCCGATCCTTTGGGCGACGGCCGAGTAGTGGTCGAATAGGTTGTAATCTCGGCCATCGTAGATGAATTCGGCAGGCATGGTGATTTTCTTCTTCATCATGTCAGCCAATGCCCGGACTGTTTCATCAGGATCGATCTCAAAGAGCTTTTCGACGATTTTGGTATAGGCTGTCTCATGGCGTTTCTCATCCGAGGCAATGCTACCGCAAATATGAGCCAAGTTAATATCCCCATAGTCCTTGGCAAGCCTGCCGGTATTACCGTGGGAGATAAAAGTCGCCCTCTCTTGGAATGAAGTGTATATGAATCCTCGATAAGGACTATTCTCCGTATGTGGGTCCTATAAATATACAGGAGAACGAGTTTAGTCTAGCAAAATATGACATCTTGCATATGCATGTAAAGAAATGTGATTATTCTTACCATTCCTGATCCGATCAAATACTGGATTGTCTTCTCAATTTGCCTCATGTCCACTCTTCCAGACAGATAGAGATACTTATTAAGCAGATCACCGTGCCGATTTTCTTCGGCAGTCCATGCCCTGGTCCAAATGGCCCAAGGGCTAAGGCTAGCACCGGTTTCATCGCGAGTTCCATCCAAGGTATTAAGCATTGTCTGATACGTAGAAAGGGCTTCCTCCGTGATCATATCACCGACCAGAACGACAAAGTAATCGTCTGGAATCTCCTTTGCCCTTTCCCTGAGCTCGTTGACTTGTTCATAAAAACCATCGGAATTAGGATCCGGGAGAAAGTCGGCGGGCTGCCAACATTTCTCTACTGGTTTCAAGTGAGACAATATGTTGTTCTCAGCCCACCCCTCCAGAGATTTGAATATCTCAACCTTATGAGGCGGCATGGAGTGGGTGATCTGAGCAGGCACCTCCCTTGGAGGCGCAAAAGGCTTTTTCAGATTCCCAACATCTCTGCATTCAGTAAAAACATAATCAACTTCCACGCATCTCTGGAACAAACAATATATCACAGATTTTAAACCCACAAATCTCTTCTTTTCAATATTCATTCAGATAAGACATCATACAAGAAAAAGGTCTCGAAGAACTAAGTTAGTTAGACAAAATAACAAAAACCCGGATTCAAATCAGATTGAACTAAAAGGAAAGATCCGTGATCTAAGGAGAAATCGATCAAGTGAGTTTATAGTCAAGGGAAAAGAAAAAGAAAGAAGAGACATACTTGGAGCCAGAAGGAATGGTAGAGACCATACAAAACTTGGGAGATCTGAGGGCGGATTTAGGTGTAAGAGCATGGCAAGGTAGTTTCTGAGATATCGAGGAAATGGTACTGAGATTCAGAGCCATCTTTGCTTTGATCACTCCCGATTTGGATTTTGGACTGCTTTTTAACCTAATGACTCCTTGCCAACGAGAGTGAAAAGAATGATCACTCCAGGGATTCTTTATTAGTACCACTTTTGACACATTAGCCCTCACTTTGCTTTTAATTACTGATTTGTCCCCATGTTTCTTTCTTTCAAAATAATTCTTAACCAACAAAAAGAAAAAACCTTAAAATATAGAGAAAATAACTTGATTAACCAAAAATATTTTATAATATACGATTTTAATTAATATTTTTTGGATTTGTCAACCAACTAAATCGCAATGCGATCGATAATTCGCAACGCGATCTCCGGTATCGCAAATCAGTTTTCAGATTCGCAACGCGAACTTCGACTATCGCAATGCGAACTTCGACTATCGCAATGTGAATATGTAAATCGCAATAGTGTTTCCACGACCACGACCCGAGACGAGACGGACGGCGGCGGCAGCGGCGCGCGAGAGTCCCCCTTGTTCTCTATCACTTAACAAGAAAGTGGGAAAGCCAAGCCTTAAATATAATTCCCAATAGTGTTTCCAATACTATGTGAGATTGAGCATTACCAACACTTGTTTCCAATACAATGTGATTATTCAGGAAACAATTAACAATCATGCACCTTAAAACAACCGAATCAGCAACCAATTGCATTAGTATTATACGATTAAATATGTCATAATTAAAAGTCAATCTACAATCAATCGGGATTATTGCAATTTTAAGCAAAGCATTCAAAAATAATATCACTATTTAAGGCTCAATCCCACATAGTATTGGGAACAAGTGTTGGTAATGCTCAATCCCACATAGTATTGGAAACACTATTGGGAATGATATTTAAGGCTTGGCTTTCCCACTTCCTTGTTGAGTGATAGAGAACAAGGGGGACTCTCGCGCGCCGCCGCCGTCGTCTCGTCTCGTCTCGTCTCGGGTCGGGTCGTGGTCGTATAGCGATTTACATATTCGCATTGCGATAGTCCAAGTTCGCATTGCGATAGTCGAAGTTCGCGTTGCGAATCTGGAAACTGATTTGCGACACCGGAGATCGCGTTGCGAATTATCGATCGCATTGCGATTTAGTTGGTCATTTTGGCAAATCCAAAAAAAAGTTTGTTAAAATCGTATATTATAAGGCATTTTTGGTCACTGAGGTTATTTTCTCTAAAATATATAATCTTATAAAATAATAATTTAATTAAAGTCTAAATATTATTGTTTTTTTTCTTTTTTAGTGCAGAGAAGACTGGTACTGGGACCGCTATTGTTTATTTGTTTTCAATTCAATGCAATGAGAATATATTAATTAATAACCTTATAAAATTAAATCATTTATACTAATACTACCATATAATTTTAATAAGAAAAAGCTAAAATTGATATTTTTATTTAATATACTTTTACATATGATCATAAAATACTATTTTATTGATCATTTGAATATTTTTATTATATTTTTTCAAGTATTTTATTATTTTTTTTATTCATTTAGGATGAATACAAGTGTATCTATTCAAATATGATTTTCAGTCATTTGACATTGAACGTTTATATCCCTACATTCATAGTGCTCGAACCCGGGACCTCAAAGAATAACAATAACTTCTTTATCACCGAGGTTTGTACTTCAAATATTTTATTTAAATAAATTCAGTAGAAAAAAAATAAAATTTCTGTAAATCTTAACAAAAACTATTTAAGGTGACAATTAAATATTATTTGATAATTATATGTATGAAATATATTATGTAAAAGTGTCAATTTAATTTATTATAAAAGTTATTTAATATTTTTATTGTTATAAGTAATTTAATTTATTAATAATAAAAGTTAAATGTTGTAATTTGGCTGAATTAAAATTTTGTAATTTCAATAAGAGTTAATATTAATTTTGTTAAACTATAATGAAAACTATCCTATACAGTGTGTTCTGTCAATTTATTAAAATTTAATAATATGTTTTACTGTATAAAAACAATGTTTGATTAATGATGAACTTAATTAATATAATTAAACTCATCAAGTGATTTTAGTGATTTAAGAGAGTATTGTTCTTTTTAGATATTTCGAGTTCGAGTAGATATATTACATGATGTATATGTGTTGTCTTATAATTTTGAAATATTATGATTAGATACTGACTTGTAATCATCTTGTATTATTTAAAAATGATATAATTATTTTTGATTAAAAAATTAAGAAATAAGAAAAATTTAAACATCATAATATCTTTAAAAAATCTAAGTAATAATAAATACATGTTAATGGAGTTATATACGTTAAAACAAATAATAAGTGAATCTATTATTGCTTAGTTTTGAAGAAATGAATTGGAGTTTTCAATAAAATATTTAAATTACAATGTTATTTAAAAATAATATAAATATTTGGAAATATTTAAATCTATAAAAGGTAATAATATATATATATATATATATAAATTTATAATATTTTAAATATAGAATAATGTGAATCTATAATCGACATATAATTTTCTTCTGTAAATTAAATTATCATGAAAATGTATCAAATGTGAAACGTTAATAAAACATGATAACATGTACACATCTACAAACTATTAAGATATATGTACAACTAGAAAGATGCACAAATAATACGTTATGTTGAAACATTAAATAACAATTTAATCAAAAAAAACTAAATAATAATTAATATTTTTTTATAAAAACTTTTATATTTTAATATAGTCTTTAAATGAATTGAAAACCACTCATTTAAAGATTTAATTCACTATTCGTGTTTAATATAATTTTTTTAGAAATTAACCTAAAATATTTTAAAAAAATGTATATGAATTAAACTAATTAAGTGATTTCAGTAATTAAAGATGATATTGTTTTTTTCTGTAGATGTTAATTTAAAAAAAACTGTATTTATAAATATATGTTGTTAATGATTAATTTTTTAAATAAATATTATCCTATAATTATTTTATAATATTAAGAAAACGTGTTCGACCGTAGAGCAAAAATAGGATCTTTATTTAAAAATGGAGGCTTCTAGGGAGGGTATATATGGAATTAATGATATTACAGCTTTTTGAGAGCACGAGAATCTTTTGGTCGTGGGAACTCTTCTCGTTAGTATCGAAAACAAATATCAGTTATTCGAAAATTTTACAAAGCGTATGGTATACTTATTATAATGCACTGAAATCTGTTTAGTAATTATATAGACATGATTATTTTTTAAAATATAGTACTTAGATGATGTGAAATATTTTTATTATTCATTTTTTTATAAATATATTTAAAATATGTTTGATATAATTTGAATATTATTTATAAAATTATTTTTACTAATAATGTATTAAATTATATATATATTCAAACAACTAGTACTATTTAAAAAAAGTTTTGACAGCATATAATTATCCTATTAACATAAAAAGTTGTCATGGTATTTATAATAACATATGAGATTTAACATATTACAAGTTTATAACTGTTCTTTGATAATACTTAATTATTAGTTTAAGATTTCTACCTCTAACTAATAGTTGGAAGTGTTATCCAACTACATTTTTTTAAAAAAAATATTATAGTATCAATATTTTCAACTACAAATATTAAAATAAAATTAAAAAATCATTAGATTATTCTAAAATATTTCTTAAACATTAAATTTTAAAAAAAATTAAAATATGGATTAAATTTTGAACTTTATTTTAAAATGAACACCATATTATAGCTACTATTTATGATTATAACTATAGTTGTCGAATAAATTTATTGACGCACTTCACATTGAAAAGATAATATAATTTTTTTTTTAAATTTTCTCATACATCTTGCTCTTTTTTTCTTTTATAACATTTAATAATAATTTAAATAATTTACTTTTCCCCCTTAAATTAACTTCATCATCCCAGAACTATCGCTTTACAGTGTTAAACTAACAAGATGACGTCGTTTTGTTTTTGGCTAACCTCCCTTTCTGGATCTCCATCTTCCTTTAATTAAGAGGTTACAAGTTGCGTTAGCGACTTTCAACTTTGAAGAGGAAGACTTTGTTAAAGGAAAACAGTGAGATAGAGATGCCGAGAAACACATTACATTATTGGGTGTTGATAGTTGTTTTTATTTCATTTTCCTCTTTTGTTATGGTATCATTATCCAAAGAACAACCAAGTCCAAAGCAATGTGAGGATCTGGGTTTCACGGGTTTGGCCATTTGTTCTGATTGCAACACTTTTGCTGAGTACGTCAATGACAAATGTATCGAATCAATACCCTCTTCAAAAAAAAATCATACCTTTTTATCATATTGGGTTTCCGTTGTTATGCTGTTATAGTAGGTTGTTTGATTAAATTTTGGAAATTTAAGGCTTTGTGTTTGATGAATTCTTTGGATTGGTTTTGGTGTTATCTGTTTATGGTCTAGTTTTTTTTTCTGGGTTTTGATTTTATGGTCTCTGAGGCTTTGTCTGATCTTAAATCGGAGGCAATGATGCATCAATTTTGACACTTTTGCATGTTGACAAAGTTCAGTTCCATGTAATGAGGTTAAGCTTCAACTCATCATCATAATTCTTACTATAGTCATCTTTTAGTTGGAAGCGACAGTTTGATTAGTTAAATGAATTAGAATTGCCAGTTTAAGATCAGTTTCTTTCTCAAATTTCTCAAGTTTTAGCTCCATTCTATTGGAAACTTTAAGTTCTCTGAAGTGAAGTGATTATAATTTGAATGTCAAATCCGCTATGCGGACTTCGGGAAGTATGACTTTACTATTTTCGTTTATTGTAGGAAAATTGTAGTTAATTCGAGGTATTACAGTTTTATTGTTGTTCAAATTGCCCTGCCTCATTTTGTGTAACCAAATTCCTTAGGCTCCTGTCAAATTGAATTCCCCTACCTCCTTTGTGCAATCACTTGGATTTTAACTGCAGCACCAGTTAGCTGTGGTGAGAAGGTGTATCTAGCACCAAAAAGCTCACCGGACACTTGTTTCAGTTGGGAACATTTTGACTGCACTGGTTAGATATAGAACTATCTGCTACCTTCAGTACAAAATGAAGCTTCCTCGTGATTCTACTGCTTTATGATGTTAGCGTTGAGTATGCTGAACCATAGCATAATAGTTTAAGCTGGGAAGACTTGGTGTGATGTGGCAATGTCATTGTCTGCTAATTGTAATGCATTTTCTAACAGAAAAGAGAAAAAAAGGAGTGACACTGGAGATTTTAAAGATCACAGCTATTCTGGTGTGTTTATGCTACATGTTAAACTCAACACTGAAGACCAAACAATTGACATATGCATTACATACATCAATCTGACTGTACCTATATGTTGACGACAGACTTGATATCTGACTGCAAAAAATGTTGCACCGAAGACTCTGATGATTCTACAAGTAAGGTATGAAATATGCTTTGGAGATGGGTTTATTTTTTGGCATGCGAGAGGGGTTCCAAACTTTATGCTTTAATAGATTTTCAGCCACCAATGTTTGTTCACTAAATCTCTCTTTCTCATCATCTGCTATCTTTCTTCTTCCAAATAATCTTTTTCAGTTCTATATTGCACCTACTGGAAGTCATATAATTCTTAGATTAGATTGAGAGTTGTGAAAGGAAGGATGTTTCTGTTTAGCAAAAGTGTTATTGAATTCTTAATTAGTTCTTGAATTGAACCCCTAGCATGTATAGTACTAATGCAGGTGCCTCTGACAAAATGACTTTTTATTTGTATTAATCAAGGGTTTTAGCTTCTTAGACTTTGCATGTAAGAATATGGAACATGTCTTCTTTCAAAAATGCCTTTTACCAACGACTGTACTCTAACATCGTATAAGGACTAATTCCCCGACTATACATCATCAAGTACGAGAATCCCCTTAATAGTGAATTGCACTTCTGTGTCTCTTTAGTCTGCTCATTTTGATTTTGGGTTTCTCCTTTTTTTTCCCGGGAAATGTGGAAAGCGAACCATACGATGGGACTGCTGAACAAAAAGCTGCTAAATTCTAGATATTTTTGGTTTCCACATTTTCAATCATCATTTTCAGTGGTAATGCTAGTTGTTTCTTAAATTTGGTATCACATGCTGTGTTTTTTCCTTTCCTCCAATTTCTAAAGTTTGCATCTATATTTGTGCAACTGCAGATTACATATTCAGGTGCAATACTGGACGTGTGCATGAGGAAACTGGTATTCTATCCGGAAATTGTTGGTTTCATTGAAGAAGAGAAGGACAAATTTTCGACAGTTAAAATTCAATATCTTTTCAATTCTCCTCCCAAGTTGATCATGTTGGATGATGAGGGCCAACATAAGGAAACTATAAGGTTAGGTTCCTTCCATTGATGCACTTAGCTCATATTGAATTGAATGCTATATTCACTGAATAAAGAAGAATTCACTCGGACAGTAACTTTGGCCTTCTTACCATTTAAAGCCAACATCCTAGCATGTTTATCTTCTACCTTGCCCCTTTTGTTTTCTCCCTCTATAATCTATGCTCGCTTGCATTATCCTTTCTTGCATTCTGGTGAAAATAATCCTAAATCTTGTGATTCTTTTGCAGAATTGACAATTGGAAACGGGAGCACATACTGCAATTCCTGCAGAAGAAAGTTCCACCCAATTCGGCAAGCTCGTAGACACTTCTGTTCGGATTCCGGTTATTGCAAGAGAAAGTAGAACCTAATTCAGCAAGGTTTGAGTGATTTCTTTGTGTTAGCCTTTGTCGATTTTATAAATATGTGCTTGATCATGACATAATAGAGTATGCAGTGTATCAGACACTACTATAAGGCAAAGTGGCATGAACTAGGTGTGCCCTTGTAGAATCAGGGCTCATGTATGTATCATATTCATGCCCCTTGAGAGAATTCTAAATTGGATTGTGATGTTTATTATTATTATTCTGTACTGTTATTTTATATAAAAAGATGAGTCTTTCTCACCTTCCATAAAAGAACTGAAAATTTTCAAAAGAAAATTTAATGAGTTGAACTATGAATCCTCTGAAGACTTTTGTGCAGTTTCTTGTGACAAAATATCACAAGCCATGCAGTACGCACATGCTGCCGGTGTCAACGTAGGGGTCGGTGATCAAAACTGTCAATGTGAAAGGATTCCTTATTTGAGCAGCAATGGCTGCCGATGGTGGTCCACAACTCAGACCAATGATGGTAAAAGAAAGCGCCATTACAAAAATGACCTTTCAACAACATAGGCCAACTAATCACCATTAATGCCACTGTTGAATTTTAAGATACAGACACGCAGATAGTTGTTACTTATCTGATAATGTGAATATGTATTTCCCATTTCTCATCATGACCTGTACGTTTAGCCCCTATTTTAAGTGCCTTGGGTTGCTTCAAAAGGACACATCAGTTGCTCAATTCATGTCAAGAAGTTTTTATAATCGAATAGGTTGAATGCAGGTCGTTACCGGCACTGGCATAAAACTAGAGTGGTGCAGGACTGCGTTTTAGATACGCAAATCTACCGATCTAAGACTAATGATTTTGCCTACCACCATCCTATATCTTAGTTCATTACCTATGTAAGTTTTGTTACAACAAAATTTTGTGCATTGGATGATAAGATGGTTACTTACTAAACCGATTTACTGAATTCCAAAGCCTTCCGACTGCCGTGAAAGGAAACGTCAGTTGAATTGTGAGATAGCTCTAATCGAATTTAGGAGATGTGGTCTTGATGGGAGCCCAAATATCGGCACCGTTGCTCTGAGCAACTCCTACGGTACAAGAGATCGGAACAAGACATAAACCTCGGTTTCTCAGGCTATAATGTTCTACATTCTGGAAGAAGAAAACAGATCCCATTAAAATGCACCCATAGCTTCTGAACTATGATTCCTAGTCACTTAACATCTCTATAGTGTTTCATGCTACATATCATAATATTTTACTACTTTTATGCCCATTTGATGCTTACCTGCGTATTATTTGGTGTTGTTTGGAGGTATGGGGCACTCAACACCTGTAAACACCCCAAAAAAAGGCCATCTATACATAAAATTTTCTCAGCATACCAAAACAGTACAACGGGAAACAAAAACCAACCTTAACCTGTTCGTGAAGAAATTGTATGTATTCCATTGCCTCCAGGAGGACAGAAGAAGTATCCGTCTGCAACGAACCAACACGGCTTCACAGTTAAAACATGAGAGGCAACTTCTGTCCTTAAAGACATGCATAAATTCTACTCCGATGTATATAATTAGTCGACGAATTTACCTTTCCGTACGGTGAAACAAGCTGCTGCAGAGCGACAATGTGTTCACTGAGCTTCTCTTTTCTATCCTATTGCAAGAAAGAGGAAACTAAGATCAATACTAATCTTAGCAACAAACAATATCAAACGCATATAGCATTTGGTTTAGTACACAGTGAAGAAATGAATGTAGAATCCAGATATAAGTTGTATCATCGAGAAGATATTTAATGTAGAGTAAAGATAGGTAAAAAGACCTTTGTGGAGACATACGAATCCTCCTTCTGCCGTTTGGATGCCAAAGAAGCGATACTACTATGGTAGACAGAGCAAGGTCCCCTTTTGTTTTCTATCATCTTTCCAATCTCCATCCCTTCTTCACATGTTTAAAAGACAAGAAAGAATCACACTCGACTTACATGAAAAGCATAGTCAAAGATATCCAAGAACACAACTTCTTATTTTTATACCAGAATAAATTCAAGGAAAAACAAAAAATAGCATAGGAAAGCTCGAGGCCTTGCTGAAAATGGCGATCGTCCCTTTGCCTTTCGCTTTGGACATCGGAGAAAGGCATCCGGCTATATATAGATGTTGACCTTCAATTTTATTCAGGTAAGAGAAGTTATACATTATATGAGAGAGTAAAATTCGACTTGACTTAAAAATAATATTTTTTTAATTTCAAGTTATTCGAGTTAAGTCAAATTATTGATTCGATTTTCAAATTCAAATTTTGAAATTTCGAGTTACTCAAAAAATAAAAAATTTGATTGACTGTTTTGATAGCTTTATGATTTAGTCTTTGATTTTCTTATTCCTTCAATTTCTCCTTCATTTTAAGTCCAGTCTTTACTAAATTTGAACAACATGCTCCTAAACTATCGTAGAATACCTGTGTTTTCAATTCCTCTTTTTGATAACATTTTTTTTCAATCTAATCTCTCAATTTTTTATGATTTCTTTATTTCTTCGATTCATTCTCCATTTTAAATTCATTTTTTATTAAATTTGAATCACTTGCTCCTATACCACTATAGAATACCTATGTAACTTCCATTCTTATTTTTTACTAAAAATATACTTTCTTTTTATTTAGTACATTAACTTTATATTTTACTTAATTTAATCTTTTGATTGCCATTGTTATTTAGTCAAATAACATTTTTCTCAAGGGAAAGACAAAATTGAACGCTTTATGAATAAGTTTTTCATTTCTTCTTTCAACAAAAAACAATCATCAACATCCCAGAGTCCAACAGCCGATTGTTCTATTTTTTCTTCTTCTATGGGTAGCTAAAATCTGAAGGTTTATTTGCCCAAAAAAAAACAGTCAGCTTGTTGCGTCTGGAAAGTTGAAAACTTTAATGAAGGATCAAAGTCCTAATCCCGAAACTGCAACAATTGAATTAACCCACCACTGCTGAAGCCTCAAAGAAGCGGGTAAAGAGGGTGTATACAGAATGGAAGCTTGTGAGAAGAAATAGAGGTTTTTAAGATAAATTGATAGTATTGTTACCAAATTTAATTAATTATTATTATTTGTAGAACTTCTTATATGAGATATTGTGATTATTATTTTTAAATTATTCAAATGAAAAATGTGTAAGAAAAGAAAAATAATTAAAATTTATTTGAAAATGATATTTTGTGAATAGTTTCTTATTTGACAGCTAATATCCAACCGGGCAACGAGGAAAAAAGCAGCCATATTATTATATATTTAATTTTTGATATTTATGAAAGAAATTAAAAATAACTATTAATACTTTTTCTATTTTATTGTCAACTTCTTAAAAAGGGTTTTTCAGTCTGTACTACAATAACTATTTCTTATTATATATAGATTAATTTTTCATTCGATTATGTTTTTTAAATTAATTCTGATTGTTTTTACTTGTAATTTTCATGTATAGATTATGATTGTTCATGTCTAGTTTATTATTTATAAGACTAATTTTCAAAATTCAGGATTATTGTTTGGATAATATTACTTTTAATGGGTATTTTTTTTTGAAATAACGTGTTAAAAAATTTAATCATATGAAGTGTATGAAAATTCATTCTTTTAAGTAGGGTGTTTATTGAAAGTTGTTCTGAATAAACAATTTTTGAAAGTCATTTAGTGTATATGATGTATTCTTCATATTTTATACATATACGATAGTAAGAATAATTGAAATGAGCATCCAGTTCAGTTGGTAGAGCACAATGTTCTTAACTTTGAGGTCGTTGGATCGAGTCCCATGGAGGGCATTTCATAATTTAGAGGTTTCTTACGGAAGTTGCTCTCAACCTAGTGTTGGGGGCAGCCTACTATCTTATCTCCCCCTTACCCTATTACATATGAGAACAAGGGACAACCATTTATTTATGTGCCTTCTTCATATTTCATACATACATAATAATAGTGACAATTGAATGATGTTTCATAAGTCGTCAAATTATCTATATGTATTTTAAAAAGACATACATAATCAAGTGATTTATAATAAATATTGTAATAAAGATCCTAGTTAAGAAAATATTTTTTTCACCCCATATGACTAAACAATTTTTCTAACACATTACTGGAGCGATTTTGTATATTTTAATGATTGTATATTTTAACAATTTTTAACAATTTTTCTAACACATATGACTAAAAAAATAATATTTATATTACCGCTGTGTTTTTAATTTGGCGGGAAATCGTTGTCAGAGCAGTTTCTGCATTCAGGTGGCGGTTTCTAATTTTGGGTCCCATTCCTGCTTCTGCTCTAAAAGATAAATGACGTTCTCCTCACTCCAACTCACTCGCTTCAATCTCACTCTCTCGGCGGTTTTGCGCGCGCGGCTACCACGAACGCCGACGTGGTAGTCACGAGCACCGTGCGAAAATGGACATTTATAAGGAGATTGTCATGAGGCCCCACGAAAGATTCACAAAATGTCAACCGAGAAATGTCGGCGCGTGGGACCCACAAGCTTTTTCAAAGTTTCCTTAATCACTTCTAATGAAATGAAATGAAACGGTGCAACAAAAAATATATACATATTCAGGTATGTGTTTGTTTAAACATGATGTTATTTATAGTTGAAGATAATGTTATTTTTTTATATTTTAAGGTAGAATAACTGCGTTCAAAAATTCTGAATAAATAATATCTTATAATAATTTCATACTATTAAAAAAAACACGTCGAGAGTCTCTCTACTATATTAAAACTTAATATTTATTCCCTCTGTTGTAATTGTACGATATTGAGTCCCTATGGTATTTTTTTTTCAAATTATTTAAATAAATTACATTGTCCAAAACAAGAGAATGATCATTTTATGTAATACAAAAATATGTACATAACCATCCAATACAAAATTTGATATAGTTGATCGGGTTTTGAATGAATGCAGCTATAAGCATGATCTGTAAGTTCAACCGTAAACTGTTCTTGAAATAGAAGTTCTGAGTTTTGGGTACGTAGATAAGAAACCCTTACAAATCCTTTGCCCTTTGCCTCAATTCATTAAGCTCCAACTCAATCTCGGTGTCCTGATATGGAAGCGGCTTGTTACTGGAGGCGGAAACAGTTCTTCCAGGTGGAAGCTCTCCTTTCTGTTTGTCGTAAGAACGGGAAAACCCAATTAAAACCTTTCAAATTGTTGAAATTCAAGACAAGTTTATGTGGTTTTGCCTAAGCAGACCACTTTAAAGCACAAGACAGAATAATGTTCGATATTGTTGCAAACAAGAAAAATTACTACATAACCGAGTATATTACTACTCATTGTTTCTTTGATATTGTTGCAAACATGTCAAAATGCACTTTTGACTTTAATAGAAGTGCCTGGAATATATATGCACACACATATATGTAACACAGAAACCTACCTAACCAGTCAATCAAAAAGAATTCAATTTTACATTAAACAAGAATGAGATATACCAGTGAGCTACCATACAGTTTCTTTTTCAAGTTTGCAAGATCGTCATCAACCGATGTGCTCTCAAGTAATGCAAACTGCATATTTAAGTAACGGGTTTCATTATGAGCTGAAAGGAGAAAATGTTGTAAAAAGGAACTAGCAAGCATATAAGCAAATATATATTATCACAGCAAAAAGGTCCTACATACGTGAACTGCATTGTAATGTAACCTTGTATTCTTATTCTGATTATGAAATTTCGGATGGTACGACAATCCAGAATATGAAAAGCAACTTTTCCGGTAAATTAATCGTGTTTCTGATAATCTTCTGAGATCAAAATAAGTGTGCACATCCCCTCCTATCATGATCTGCTTTACTTACAGGAAAACCTTTTCCATATTTCATATCATAGGATAAAAGTAAACAAAATACTTCAGAAAGTCAGCTTTGATTTCAAAATAATTTGAGTCGGCATAACCCGGCCAAAAGCTAAGTTGGCATTTCCTAGATACGCCAACAAAAACCCATTAACACTCTTCAAAACCAGGCCTATGATGGTCACTACCAACAAATGATGCAAATTATCAGATACCAACAATGGAAATATGGCCATTGAAAGTTTAAACTGGATTTAAAGATTGCAAAAATAAGAACCGGGTAGTCAATACCTTCCCATCAAGATCATCAGTGGTTAACTGCCCAAGAGCTTCAGCTTCGGACTCCATTGCCAAAACTGTCCATGAAAAAGAAGTTGATAAGAGACTACCAACCACAAGAAATGCAAGATACTATCAATCTTGACTAATTGAAAATTACATACCAAAGAAAGATCAACACTCATCAGGTGCATGACAAGGATGATAATATATATATATATATATATATATATATATATATTAAGATACTGAGTAATGACATTTTTAATGAAATATTTGGTTCAGAAAATGATAGTTCATTAAAAAGCAGCATTTTCTGAGAATGGATGGGCAAAAACAGACACACATATCCTCACATCCCTCAACAACATAGACGTTTTTTTAACTCAGGAATCTTCTTCACAATGCAACATCCTCAACTGGAGATATTGTGTCAGTGTAGTAGAAGAAATCACCTGATAAATTTACTGGATGATATTTTATATTTAAGAAAAGTTCCATCAGAAACATATAGATCAAATTAGATGTAGATGCTTAACAAAGGGCTGAAAAAAGCTTTAATAGGCGCACTTTCACTTGTGTCAAAAATCATAATCTTGCTAACCCCGAAGCATGAATTAATGGGATGCTTACTTACAACAAACAAGTTCCAACCTAAGATTAACTCACCTTTCTCTTCCATCTTCTCAAAAGCCACTAAAGCACTACTAGTGTTGACATTTCCCACCATCTCATTTACTTTTGTAGCAGTTCTGAAGCAATATCAAAGTCATCATGACCATCCAGTATGATAAAACACAGAAAAAGGAGGGTAGCAATTGGAATAATAATGGAAACTACCTTGCAGACTGAGCCTGGGCTTTTAAAGTGTCTTTCTTTGACTTCTCCTCTTGTATCTTGCTTTCCAAAAGCTACAGAAAGTGGAATTCAGTGGATGCAACCTCAAAAATCCATCAATGTGCACATATTAACAAGATTAAAATATGATGCAAATAATGTTCTTATTACATCTATTATTTTTTTGTTTGTTAAGCATTTAATCAGTTTTTTTTCTTTACATCAAAACCATCTGCCACAAAGAATGTCATTACTGAACAATTATTTATTTCAGTCATAATTCTAAGGCTAAAACTTTACGTTTCAGTCTAAGCATTTATATGCTAAGCTTCCTGGTTCATTTATTTCCATGTTTTACCCAATATTTCTCTAAGCTGTTGTGAGTAGGCACTAAATTCAAAGCAAAATGTTGACATATGGATTTTGAAAAAAAATAACATTTTCAAAGGAATTACTCTTAAAATTGGGGACCTAACCAAAAACTAATCCTGTGATAATGTTATTTTAAACACATAGATTTCATTAGCATCACTTTTATCACTTGAGACAAAGCACTAAGCCCCACATTGGTAGAAGGTCACTTTCAGAAATAACATATTGTCATTAATTCAGAAGTTTTTCACCCTTATGTGTTTTGACAATCCATCTTTGGTTTATCATTCTAAAGGCTAGGTACATTTTCTTCTCTATCACTTTCAAATCACTCCTACTGTTCATCATAGAGTCATGCCATATACTTCATTACAAACATTTAAACACATAGCATTTCAGACCTAAGGCAATATTCCTAATAAAAATCCCGACCAAATTATCTAAATGAACAATATTCCGATGATATTTATAGTAGTAAAGATACATAGACATACCCGTGTATTGGAGACAAGATTATCAATTACGCTTTTTTGCTGATCAAGTTGACTTTCAATGAATTAGCATTATCCTGCTGCAACAAAAAGGAAAAAAAACACATTTCACCAATTATTCAATTAGAAAAGAGTTATCCACTTTAAGAATCAGGAATTGATGTTATATATTCTATGGAAGAAAAACAGATTTTAACCCCAAAAAAGTTTTCTGGATCAGTTGCACAAGTCATTAATTCAAATTACCATGTCACTGGTGTTCGCATAACTTTGCATTGAGAAAAACAAAGGAAAACAGGACGAGACATAGAACCATAAAATTTTCTGAAAAAACTGATATCTTCTGAAATAATTTTTTTTCCTAAAAATAATTAAGCTCACATAACATTAAAACTAATTGCCCAATCATAACATTAATGCAATATGCAAAATACAAAACGTAACCTTATATATCCTACAACTTGAAATTAAAGTTACACCCAGAAAAATACAACAAAGCAATTGTAACTGTCAAAATGCCTTTAATTCTTCTATTAACCTTTTTGTAGGACTCGTCTTCTCTTCTCTTTTCTCTATTCCTATTCTTTCTCCATAGAGTTCAGCATCCTTTTGCAACCCTCCACTTTTCTATTGAGCAAAGATACTAGAACCACGGCCCAACATTATAAATCTGATATTGTGTTCTTTGTTGCAAGCCATATCAAACCTTCTCCCACATTGAAATTGGGAACTCTAAAAAACCAATCACACTAACTGTTCAGATAAACTATGTTAAGTTTGTTAATCTAATTTGCCATTCTCAAATCCTTCAAGACACAAAAGTGTTTAGAGCTATGTTACTCCAACTATTCATTTTTCTTGAAGCGTCAAACACCCGTGTTGGACACATTATCCAAGATGGTACTTCAAAATAACCTCCAAGGACCATAAAAATACATGGAAAAGCTTGTTTAAAAATTGAACATACCTGTCTCAGATACATATTAACATCTGAAACTCACACTAAAGTCCAAGTAAATAGGTTTAGGGAAAGCTTTGACAACTTATACACCAAAGTCTAAGGGGCATGTCATCTTAATGAAATCAAATACCTATGAATATTTGCTTACATATTTCAAGGATAAAGAAACTGAAGATCTAGAATGATTTTATAAAGAATGCTCAGAAGTCAATTTTCTAAGTGGCAACTTGTACATCAAATTCTAAGTGGTGTATCATCTTAATGAAATCAAATACCTATGGATGTTTGTTTACATATTTCAAGGATAAAGAAATTGAAGATCTAGGATGATTTTATAAAGAATGCTCAGAAGTCAATTTTCTAACATCTTACAGCCAAAGATTTACACCTCTTGAGGGCTTCACGTGCAAGATCTTCTTCTCCTTTCTGAAGAGCTAACTGTGCTTTACGGTACCTTTATGAAACCAACACTTAATGAGGACATTTGAACATCAACATACTCTACAGACTAAAGAAACATACTACTTAATCCATTACCGATCTTCAGAAGCCTGTTGTGCAGCTTTGTACTTATTTTCCAACCGCTTTTGAGATGCTAATACCTTCAAATGAAAAAAGGATCATTTCTGTATACTTAAGGTGGGAAGAAAATTAAATTGAAAGGTAGAACAAAAAATCATGAGAACATAAAATCTAAGTTCATCTAGGCATCTAAAGTTGAGTGCATAACTGCATATGCTATGTAATTATGAATAAAATAAACTAAGAATATCAAAAGCAACAAGGAAGGTCAGTTAAAGGAAATTAAAAGAACATTAAGAAAGGAGGCAAAAGAGAAACACGAGAAACTTGAGAAATAAAAAATTATGAGGCTTACTTGTGCTGTGGTTGTCTCATCTTTACCAAATCATCATTCATTTTAAGAACAGCTTGATCTAAGATTTTCTCAGGGTTTTCGAAGGAACTTAAGAGTGCATTTTCATATGACTTCCGTTATCAGTGATATGAGTTAAGTTATTGAGATAACACGCCAAAAGTTGGAATCAGAAGCCATGGTATCATTATATGAGTGTATAAATGATTCCTAAAATCTGACCTTAACAACTCTAGCAAACCATCAAAAAGGTTCATGCGAGTACCAAGAGCACCACCACCTTGTCTATAACAATGAGATCTTCCCGGAAGAATCCTTATGCTTGAGGTTTTTAGGGAAGCCACTGTTTAGAAAGGAACAAGAAAAAACTACTTTAGGTTGTATTTAGATGGTTTAGATGATGTTAGACAGTCCTTTGAATTTGATATTGTCATCCGTTGGGATGAGGAAATGTCCTTCCACGGGAGTTCACTCCTTCATATTACTCTCTAACATCTCCTAGAATGCAAACAATCTAGTGCAACAACAGAAAAATGGGATGAAAATCAAACTACAGAATCAATAATGTGGATTGAAAGACAATGGTTTAAACTTTAGAGCTTTAACTGAACCATTAGCAAATGAACCAAATTAACCAAAAAAAGAGAAAGAAAGAAGTCATCGCACATAGAATCAGCTAAGCTTCAAAAAGGTTTAAACTTTGAAGTATTCCATTTGAGTTAAGCAAACTTGTCAATTTACTTACCAAATGGCATTCCTTAGCAACACTCTTTCCTACTTCTCAAGCTATCAAAAAAAAAAAAACAAAGCTCTAGATATATAAAGAAAAGTACATATGCATGTATGTGACATTATCCCATCACAGTACATTAAATTCAGTTCCAAAATTTCAACATTGATCTACTGGTGTAGCATGGAAAATGAGAAACACGATCAAGTCAAAAGCAGCAGAGAACTCTTAATTCACTGAACTAATAAAAAGAAACAACAATTACCCATTAAAATTGTACGGAAGAAAAGGACAGAGGAGGGGTAAAATGAATAGTTTCTTATCCCGATGCAACAATTATCCATTAAAATTAGAAGTAAGAAAAACGCCAAAGGAAGGATATATCTCCGTCATTAAAGAAGGAAGTAGTGAGCAGGTTCTCAGCTAAACGACAACTACCCAATAAAATTGAAATTAAAAAAGCCAAAGAAAGAGTACCTCCGCCATTAAAGAAAGAAGAAGTGAGTGGCTTCTTAACTAAACACAGGCTGCTACCAGTCCCGGAGCTTGAAGAAGCGGCAGCAGTGGGTTTCAAACGGAGGGTCAATCCTGTAATTATGTGAGATTTGACAGCCATTTTAGGATTACCGATACGAAGGATTTCTCTTATGCTTTGAGTCTGCATACAAAGAAAGAGACAATTATATCATCACTCCGCTCTATGATACACATTTCCTTTTTAAAGTAGAAATATTTACCCGCATTTGTGTTTTAATTTAGGGTAAACTGCACTGAAATACATTAAACTTTTAGATTTATATCAATTATACCACTAAACAAAATGTCGATATTATTTCATCATTAAACTTTAAGTTAGACTTCAATCTAAGCACTCCGCCGTTACCCCCAAACAACAAGCTGACATAGACTTCAAAATTAAAATATTTTTTACGTAAAGGTAAAAATCGACGTCGTATGGGATAAATGACTTATTATATCTCAAAAAAAAAATGATGTTTATTAAAAGATTGAAACCACTGGAAAAATGTTTTAATCTCAAAACTCTTTGGGGAAAAAAACTAAAACATTTCTTTGATTTTTTTAAAAAAAGTCACGACTCGTGTGTGTAGTTATTTGGTCAATGTAAGTGTAATGTTTATTCTTTTTCAATGTTCAGTATGTCATAAAATTAGGCTTTTTAATTAAATTTGTAGATAAAGTTAATATCTCTGAGAGTATTACACATTTGGTTGTTATGTGTACGCAGGGAGAGATGTAAAAAAATACATATGTTAAGAGATGTTAACTTAAAAAATATATATTAAAATCTTAAGAGGTGTGAAATTAAATAATTAATATAAAACACAAAGAAAACACCTTAAATATAAGAGAATTTAAAATTTTTAAGAGGTGTGACAGATTGATCTTTGTGTACGTTTATGATTTCTCATCGTACTTGTCAATGATTTTTTATTGATGTTCGATGTTATATGTCAATTTAAAAGTAGTATATTTTATTTGATGTTGAATATTTATTTTATCATATATTTTAAGGGTTTATGTTTAATTTTGATGCTTTGAATGTGATGTGCATGTTAAATAAACTGTTCCCCTCTCAATTTATGGATTTTTATAAATTGTAATTGTTTTAATCTCACATTATTTTTTGGGTACAATTTAATCTCACATGATTGGTTAAATAAATTTCAAGATTAATTTAAAATTATGATACTTTTGTTGGTAGATGTCTCAAAACCAAATATATTTCGCATTATGATGTATCTGATGTTGTGAAAGGTTCTAATCATTTGTTTGTTTGAAGAACTATCATGACCACTAAGTATTTAATTGGCTTATATTATAAATTAGTACCTAAATTATACTTTTTGTTATCTAAGTACCTAAAGTATTTTTTTTTATTGAAATAAGTATCTAAACTTATCTTTTTGGTCCAAACTTATCTAATGGTCGATATAATGTTAAGAGTGTTTATCAAATGATAACGGATCTTTGGTCTTTCATTTTGATTGGCGAAGAATACGATTCCGGATTAAACATGTACTTATGTTATTCTATTATCATTCATAACAGCAACTTTATCGAAAGTGTGTATTTGGCATCATAGCTCTAATGGTCGATATAATGTTAAGAGTGTTTATCGAATGGCCTCATCTTTTCACTCTTTCATCCTAGATCATAAGGTTGATGGGTTGTGGTGGAAGTTTATTCTATTCGATAAATATTTGTGTTAAGTTTTTACAGTGCGATGATTTTTATTTTGAATCTGAATGTTTTTAAATAACCAGTGCATTACATTACAATCTTTTGATTATGGATTTTCGATAAATTTAAGAATTATTTTGTAATATATCAATAAATTTAATAATCATTTTATAAATTTGATAAAGTTTAATGACTATATTTTAATTGTTTGAGAAGTTTAATGATGATTTTATAACTCTTGAAATTTGAGTGATAAAAAAGATTATTTTAATATAGTTTAGTGACCATCTAACATTTTGATAATTTTATTGATGATGTTAACTTCTAATTATATAATAATGTAACACTGCCACGTGTTAATAATAATATTATTATGTATAATTTTAATAAAAATTAAATTTTATAAAAATATGTAAAATTCAAAATTAAGAACTCCTGTATTTGAAAACAAAATTCCAAATTCCAAATTCTGTAAATTGAATCACCTAAAATTTCGTTGGAACTATAGTCAAAACAAATGAAGCGTTCAGATTCAATGAGGTGGATTCAAATGTCTGTGATTGGAGCATTGATTTATTTTATTTTTATTTGGTTCTCATCTCCGTTAAGAGGATAAGGAAGGCCCCTTCTCGCTAATATTAGTTGAACCACTTTAATTACTCGATCACAATCGCCAAAAAAAAAAGATGCCTTCAAGCTGCGAAATCTGTTGTGAACTGCTCATCGCCATTTTGTTCCCTCCTTTGGGTGTTTGCTTAAGGCACGGTTGTTGCAGCGTGAGTAAAATTTGTCCTTTGTTTTAGGTTGAAGTTTCGATTTTTGGTTTAAATTGAAATTGAAATTGTGGGGTTTTGCAGGTAGAGTTTTGTATTTGTTTGATTTTAACGATTCTGGGTTATGTTCCTGGGATAATCTATGCTCTTTACGCCATTGTTTTTGCGAATCGAGATGAGTACTTTGACGAGTACCGGCGACCACTTTATTATTCAAGTGCTTAGTATTGTTTAATTATGAATGTTTGTGATGCTCTAAGCTTTGGTTTGATTTTTGATGTGTTGCTGCTCTTTGACTGATCTTGATGTACTTATGCTGTTATGAATGATAATGGATCTTTGGTCTTTCATTTTGATCGGTGAAGAATGCGATTCCGGATGCTTTGATCTTATGTTTGTTTAGAGAAACATGATGAGATTGTTGAATCTGCCATTAGAAATCATTTCCCTATCTTTTATAATGACTAAAATGGAATTATTTTAATTTTCTTAAGGCTAAACTATATTTCTCCCTTTTACAAGATAGGTTTTGAATAAACAAAGATTACCTTTTTAGGTTTGTGTTTACACGTACGTAATAGAATATTATATAGTATGTACAAGAGAAAAATAAAAGAATAATGAATTTTAAGGTTTTTTTTCTCTTAATCTTAATCTTCGATAGAAATTATAATCTTCTTAAAATGTTCTTAAGGCGGTTATAGAGTGAGAATTGAAAAAGTTAAATTTAAATACTTAATTGAGTTGAAAAAATTATATATAAATACCAAATTGAACTAAGAAGTAAATTTACCAATTTTAATTAAAAGAAATTAGTTCAAGTACCTTAATCGAGATTAAAAAAATGTTCTAATATAAAATTCTTGTATGGAAAAATGTTGATCTATTATTCCAGCAGGCTCAGCTAAGCAGTACTCGGTGGTAGTCTTAGATTTTTCCTACATTATACATTAGCGAGAAACAATCTTCTATTTGGCTCACCGAGAGATTTGCTACTGAATGCGACCGCCAAAAATATAACATCAATTTTTTTGTGCTTGCATCGCTGGTAGAGTTCTTGGGTTTGTGTTGGCATCTCTTTTCTTGCTGTCATGGGTTCAACTGTACTGAACTATGCAATCAAAAATCAAGGTTCCCTGTTTTGGAGGAACTAGAGCAACTACCCGATGTGCCATACGAAGCTCCACTCGAACCATCGACAGGGGCCTGATTTAGGCATTCTATAACCAAATACCGACGCTTGTGCAACTTGATTGAGAAGGTTGTTGCCTCAAGAATCACAGGAACCTGATAACGTTTCAGAAAAATAAGGTATAAGAGTATAAGGAATTTGATCAAACTGTACAAAACTAGGATGAAGATTAATGCAAACAAACCTGTGTGTTGATGCGTGCCACTTTGTGCACATTCAGAAAGCCAACCATATCCTGGTAACCAGTGATGAGTTGTGCCAACTCCTTGTCTTCATCTGAATGAAGAATCCAAGAGATTAATAAGTTGGTACAAACTTGAAATCAATAAGTGCAAATGATAATCACGAGGTAGACTGATAATAAACCTTGAGTTGCTTTGACAGAAAGCAGCGTGTCTGCCATGTGCTGCCATCTTTTACCGAAGGATGGTGAAAGAAGGGAAGGAGGAAAGGTTATTATGGCGACCGAATTCGAAGACTGTATCATGCTTTTGAGAGATCTAATAAATGAAAGCATCTCCCACTCCTGCAATAGTTTATATTATGACCCTTTAAAATGGCATACCATCAAAGAGACTTCTAAAACTACGACTTCTACGGTTTGAATGGTCCAAAAACATTTTAAATTTATTCACTTATGGAAGTGGATTTTGTAATATCTCAATAAATCTTAAAAATCTACCACTAACCATGTTAGAATATGCACACTGTGGAGCACAAAATGATTGGATGGTGATACGACCAGCACAAGAAATGCTGCCATCATTTCTACAAGATTGCCAAAAAAAGAGGAATGACCGAAAAGTATACCAAATGGAAAGAAGGAAAAGAAAGGTAATGGCAAGTTAGTCGAGACACTAAAATAAGATTTTGGAACTTCATACAGGATTCTTCATGCAGCTATAAGGAAGATGACAAAACAGGTAATGATAAAATCAAACATTGGCAAATATAGCAGCAGGATTAAATGTTTCCAACATCATTAATATATGAACATGGAAAACAATGATACCGTGGCAACTGAGATAAAAATGTTGCACATCTATCTTGAAGAGTGGAAAGATCCGAAGAATCTTGGATGCTAACACAATCTATGCGCTGCCCAATGATTAAGTGCCTCTCTAGGGGCTTCCGCAAGTCAAATTCATTAGAGTACTCATGTTTTCCATCTGCACCATGTTCACGTAAAGAGATACAACTAGTACTTTCAAAATGAAAATAGCATGAACATTGATTAAGAACAGGGCACTTCCAAACAAACAACAGAGGAGTGACGGTAGAATGAACATTGATTAAGAACAGTGCACTTTAAAACAAATACTGAAAAGGCGATGAGTGTAATGAGGGATAAACTACCTCTTTGGCCATCAAAATTTAGCTGATTTTCACCAAAATACTTCTTATACTGCCAAGCAATTCTCAGACCTTTCTCCTGCAATTTTTTTGAATATGACATTCACATTCGAAGCATTTAAACATACAATATTTCAAACAAACTGAAGAAACCAAAGAAAACGGGAGTCAAAGATGAAGGGACCTGATGTGGATCAGGTTCCCGGGATTTGTCATCTTTGGATGCAGCGGGACTAGGCAAAGTACCCAAAAACCCCTTTGGATCTCTGGCTGGACTAGCATAGAGAAGAGGTTGGCCGTGAATAAGTCCCTGAGCCATGAAATTCCTCAACAAAAGCATGTGATGAGGTGCTTCTGCATCTTCCATCACCATAACTAGGCTTCCCAAAGGGAACCCACCACCCAAAACCTCTGCATAACAAGTAAAAACTATTCAATAAGAGAACACCTCACTCAAGTCAGTGACAAGAGAATGTTAGGCGATTATGTGTATGCATTACTGTCAAGGTCGGGTATCCCAGAAGATAGAAAGACCATGCCATTAGGCCCACACTTAAGTCCAGGGCCTAGAGATGGGGCTGCACTGGAAAGGTTTCGACAGAAGCTGCTTGTCCGAGTCTTGGCCGTAGCCATAGCAGTGGCAACAATCAAAAACCAAAACACCACACTATGCGGTGATCTAAGACTTTCCCGGTTCTACTCCAGCAAGATTGTTCAAGCAATACCCTGTTGCAGACTAAGTCAAAACAAAATCTAAAAAACCAACAATAATTATCACTAAGAAATAGCTATTCATGAAAATTAACTTAGTTTCTTCAGTAAATGGTAAAGGAAGACACATGATTAGTTAATTTGCGGAAGAGCTGCTTGGCTCTCATTATTCAATGGCATGAAAAGAGAGTCAATTTTACAGGGTTCAAGGAATACTAAGACCCCCACCTGGAAGGTGTTATTGGCAATAAAAATTGTTTTCATAAGAAAGAAGACGTTCTTTCACCTATGAAGTATAATCAAACTGAGAATACCAAATGTCTGAAATCAAGAAGGCTCCTCCTATTTCAACAGACAGTGTAACCCTCTTAACTCGGCCTAGAAAAAATTAGGTCGCACCCAGAGAGCTCAATTGAAATCTTTTCCCTCGTGGAAAACGTGTTCGTTCCAAAACTTAAAAATTAACATTGTAATAAAGAAACAATTCCTCAAATCAATATTTCATAGTTTTACTAGAATAAAATATATGAGAAAAAATCCAATATAAAATACAAATAATAAATATTCCCAAAACATGCAAAAACAATCCGAAAATAATTATAATTTCCAAGTCCCAAATTATTTAAATAAATAATACTAATAATAATAACGATAATCCGAAATGAGAAATCCAATTAAAGTTTCATACTGAATGAAATAATCTTAATTTAAAAAACGCAGTAATATTGAGTAGTCTAAAATCAAGAATCTGAAAAAGAAACTATAAGGGTGTAAGCTATTAAGCTTAGTATGTCTATAAAGTTCATAATCACAAGCAGGGTTTTAAAAAACGGTTCGCGATCGCGATATAGCGGTTTCGCCGCCGTCCGAGTTACCCGCGACGGCCGCAATAGTGTCCGCGACAGCCGCAATCACGGTAAATCCGAAATAACCGAAAACACGACCGCGACCACGATTTGAAACCCTGGTCACAAGTCTCACATCACAACTCAAAACATAATCCAATTCAACAGAAATATTCAGAATCTGAATAATATGCAAATGAATATGCACTCATACGCCTTACACCGTTCAAAGAGTAGGTTCTCTAAAATCATTCTCTACTAACACATCCGTCGGCTGAATACACTAAATTTCCCCTATCAATCCCAATCCAATATGACATAATATCACAGTTTATCCAAATTCTGATCTGATCCGAATATAAAAAAGATTTACATAATCACATAGTCCAAATGCATAGCATAAAGTTCGAAGCTGATAATTAACATGCGTCACATAACATATATTCGAAATGCATTTGATGCAAATCATTTCACAAAACAGACATGCTTCCAAATCAATTTTAAATCAATCAATCAATAATCATAGAATAAATATAGTATCAAATAGAGACACACCTCGACAAAATAACTATTGGCAATCGTGACGTCTCCCATGGTCAGCTCTAACAGTGGGTCACACCGAATCAGTTATTACGAAATAATTTAATCATAAATTAATACTCTACCAAACGTCAACGCCAATTGAACTAAAAATGCCAACTAGTACTCACGATCAATACGGGTAACATGGGTTGGTTCGAAATTAGCAGTTATCGACGGTGGAGGAGGCAATTCAGTTACTGATTCGATTTCTCCTGAAAAATACAGCATCCAATTAATATCCCCAATTCAACAATTCCGGTTAACGAAAAAATTAAAACGGCGTTTAATATAATTTCCCATTCAAAATGGAACCGGACAGCGGGTGTTTGGATTTGAACGATGGCGGCGGCCGGGCACCAGAGGAGAGGCTGAGGGCGCCCCACGGGCTTCAGAGGGCACCCCATGGTGGCAGAGGGCATACCAGCGGCGGCAGGGTGCTGCCCAGCCCGCACCAAAAGCGGCAGCAGCCCCCAAGGTTAACCCGGGTGCTGCCCAGGCTTGAAAAGGTCGACTAAGCCTTCCACACGCGAAGCCCCGCCAGGGAGAAACCAAAACGGCCGTGAACAGCCCCGGCCACGACAGTTGTGCAAAGGGGAAAATGGATTTTTCAGTTCTGTTTACCGAGAGAGGAGAACCCGCGACAATCACGAGAGATGAGGGAGCGACGAAGCCTTCGAGTAACCTTGCGGCGACCCTGGTTCGTGCGAAGAAGAATGACGACGAGGGAAAGAGTGATGCAATGCAATGGCGAGAAGCAAAGAGGAGCAGAAGGGAAAAAGTTTGAAGCAAGCAGCCGCAAGACAATTATAGAATAGGGATTGAATTCTAATTAAAAATGGGTAAATATCCAATTTAGTCCTTTCGTTTCCTAGGGTTCACGGAAGTGGCCCAATGTTTTATTTTTTGTACAAAAGAGTCACTAAAATCACCATTTAGGCATCCGAATTTCAATCAGTTTGATTTAGTCCTACATTCAAAATTTAGGGATTTGAAAGAAAATCTTCAAATTTTAGGATTTTTAATTTGGGGCTAATCTGGAGTGTTACAGACAGACAGTTAAAACTTTTAAAATCCGTGCAAAATAAGTAAAAAAATTAAGATCTAAGACAAACGGTTGAGGTCTATATTTATCTTTAACTTTACCAAAAACACAGAAAGCATCATGAAAAGAAGCAGCAAACTAGCAATTCATATACCATCCCCCCTGTCTATCTGTCCTTCATAATCATTAGAGCTTAAACTGCAGCTTTATCAAACCCTTGAATAAACCAAGAGTTCATGTACAATCATTCATCAAGTTATTCCATCCAAGGTTAAATAACTCAATTTGTTTCTTTTGAATGGACAGATAACAAAGCTGTAAAACTCTTCTGTCGTCTCCAACCTCAGCAAACATCATTCAATATATCACCTAATAGTAAAAGGGCTTCCGGTTCCAAATTCCTTTCCTTCGATAACTTGTGGTTTTACCTCACCAAAGAAATCGAGTATTGTAGAATAGCATTTAAACATCTAATTAGACCTTTTGTCTCTCATTTAATTTTTTTTTATTTGCAACAAATACCCCTAAGCCCCAAATTAACAGCAGCATGAAAGCAACCAATATCTAATATCATAAAAACAATAATAATGATATCAAATCTTCACATCCAGGTTGAACAAACAACTGAAAATCAACTCTTATAGATGTCCGCTAATTTATCTACTGACCAAATTGGAAAATCTTCGAGAATGAAACAATTGAAAAAAAAAAGAGAATGGAAGATGAACATGAACAATTCTGAATCGAAGATCAATCAGTTCAAATAACAAAGGAAACAAATAAAATTAAAGGCTACACATAAATTCAAGCAGCTATTTCATTTTATTTTACAAGCAGAAACATGAATGAGATCACGCTAAAACACATATAAACAATATTATTTTATTATATTCATAAACAGAGAGAATTGATATCGGAAAAGAAGGGGCCTTGCGACTTAAAAGAAAGAGGTACGAAGTTCAGGCGAAGGAGATCGCAGTTCCGACGAGATTCCGATGAGTATTCCTATGTGAAAGGGAAGGAAAGGACTGCAATAGAAAACTCAGAGAAGTAAGGCGAAAAATAAAGTTCAGAACTATATATGCGAAAAGGGAATAAATCGTCTAAGAAATGCCTGAATTCTTACCCTTCTTCTTTTTTTCTTTCTTTAAAAAAAAATAATTTTAACCTTTTTTTCTTCTTTTGCTTTTAACTTATAATTGGACTTAAAAATAATAATAATTGGCTTAATGCGTTTTATTTATTAATGGATAAACAACAGAATTAATCATTTCGATTTTAATTTTGTACACTATTTCTCGTTAAATTTAAAAAACATAGTATTTTATCACTTTCATTCTTATTTAATTAAGACAATGTTACTTTTGTTTAATTTTTTCACTAACTATAATTAAAATTTCAATGACTAAATATTTAAAAATTGATAAAGTAAGTGATCACATCTCAATTAAATAAAAATGAATATGACCACATATTAATGAAATAAAAATAAAAATGATCAAATATTATACTTTTTATATATGTGAGAAAAAATATGCAAAACTTAAACAAAATGATAAATCATGTAGTTTACCCTTTATTATTTTAAAATTTTATATAGATTTTTAATGAAAACAAATTAAATACATTTATTTAAATTAAATTTAAAAATAAATATATTAAATTTAAATTTTATTATAGATTTAAATAAATTTCAAGTTAAAACACAAATTAAAGAGCACGTATATAAAAAAAATCAAAATAATAAAAATAATTTAATATGATAAATTATATTTAATTATTTACTTGTTTAAACTTAACAAATTCAAATAATTTAAGAATTCACTATTATATATTTTACTTTATTTTGAGAATACTTTATTTAAAAAAAGTTATGGAAATATATATATATATATATATATATATATATATATATATATATGAATTTATGAATTTTTAAATAAATTTATGGAAATATTTATATATATATATATATATATTAAAAATTATAGATTATTTTAATTTGATTTTTTTGTTAAGATAGATCAATTTGTTAATCGGTTTTTTTAGATATTTAAATTATAAAAGTTCAAATCGATTCGGAATTTGAAAAACTTAAGTATATATATTAATCATTGAACACATGTAAAAATATCACGTCAATAATATGTGTCGATTATTACTCAATTAACGATTTTCTTTTAATATGAGATATTTTGATACAAAAAAATGAAAAGTTTAAAGCCAAATTGATCATTTGTGCAGACGTTGGAGGACAATTTTATCATTATACTTCATCATAAATATACTTATAAAATAAAAACGTATGTAATGTTAGTAAAAAATAAATTATGTGAAATAAAATAAATTTAATGTGTATCTTAAAAATAATTATGTTTTGATCAATATAATCATAAAATGAATGTTATTTGTAAAATTAACATGACAATTTTTATATCCATAGATTCAAGTAAACAAGATTAAACTCAATTAATATTGTTTTTAAGAATAAACAAATAGTAATAGTTTTGATGGGGGAAATGATGAATATAAATCATAAAACGTAAGATTGTCAGTATGTTAAATTAGGAAATAATCTTTTTCTTTTTTATAGAAGAAAAATAGAGGAATCAAAAGTTTAAATAAAGTTTTAAAATAAAACTCGACAAAATATATTTAATTTAAAGAATAAATGATTCATTAAGTCATCTTAAAATTACACAACCTTCGATTTAATATACAATTTAACAGATAAACTTTAATTTGATATATCCAATACGCTAAGAATTAGTTTTCTTCTCATTTTTAAAACTGTACAATCAGAATTAAAATTTCACGTATACTATTAAATAAAAATTAAATATAATTACACAAAATTAAAATTCACCAACTACATGTGTTATTTTGAGATTCTTGTAACTGGATCACTTTAAATTACAAGGACTAATTTGAACTGATCCGACAATACAGGAACCTACAAGCTAATTTAATGCACGTAAAATTCACAAAACACCTCTCATCACCAACTTTTGAAGTGATCACTCTGCCAAACACTAACGCACGTATTTCTTTCCCACTTCTCATTTGTTTAGCGCAAAATATTCACAAAATTTAAGTCAATTTGTTCCGAGATAGAACTCTTGGTGATTTCCTCTTCATTTTTCTCTCTCACGGAGACGATCCATTTAATACATAAAAAAAGAGAAAAATTATCTTTGCTTTCAGATCTGCGGTTTCAGTTTTAGATTCAATCAGGCCAAGGTTCAGGTTTCGATTTTTGTTTATTATTGTTCCCCGCTCTTATTTAGATCTGTTTCGTTACATTTTATTGAATTCGGATTTCTGATTTCTGAATTCTGATGTTATTGATTTAGTTTTCATTTCTCTAAATATAGTTTAATTTCAGCTCATTCTTTTTTCTGTTTTTCTTGAATCCATGATTGTTCTAAAATGTTCCTGATGAATGATTGGTTTCCCCCCTGATTCTGATGGTTTATATTATTTTTTCTATCAATTGTTTGCCACTACCAAGATTCTTAATGGTATAACTTTAATCTCTAGTGATCTGTCAAAAATATTTATGCTATATAGATTTTCATCCAAGCTGGTTAGCTTCTTTAGTTTAGTAAATCAACTCCTTTTTAATTTATATATTAATTGGAATGTCGTATGATTGGACTTTTATGCAAGTTTGATTTGATTATTTTGCCTGTAAATGATCTTGAAATTTTCTTTTGAATCCTTTGGCTTTTATTTCTTTGCAAAATTGCTATGTTTCTAGCTTTACGGGTTTTGATGACTATAATTTTATTCCATTGTGGTGCCCGGAAGTTGTTCAAGATCTAATGTTTCCTATTCTCTCTTATTTGGCAGAGCTGGCTCATTTTGAAAGCAGGGACGATGAAGAAGGTTTTTGGTCAAACTGTTAGAGACCTGTATGTGTATTATTAGATACAAATTCTCATATCATGATAATATTGCCGAATTTCTTCTGAATATTGAAACATGTAAAGCAATCCCTTGGTAGAAGATTTATCTACGAAAGATGATTGCAATCTTGTTTGTTTCTTTGATCAATTTGTTCTATTCCTGCTCCTTGGTATTTTTTTGCAATAACCGGTGGCTAAATGTTCCTTTGCCCCCCTTTGTTTTTTTGCAGTAAGAGAGGGGTTAATAAGAAAGTTCTTAAAGTTCCTGGAATAGAGCAGAAGGTAAGAATATTATTTAGCAATTTCATAGTCCATTTCAGTGTTAAAGTCAATTTTTGCTTGATTGAAGCATCTGTTGATCAGTACTGTCAAGCAGAATATAGTTTTCCTTTGTCTGGGGGATTTACTAAACTATCTAGATATTGTTTTAGTTGACGGAGAGAATATTGTTTAGCAATTTCACTGCCCATTTGAGTACGATAAAGTCAATTTTTGCATAACTGAAGTATCTATTGACCAGTTGTGTGAAGCAGAATATCTTTTTTCCTTTGGCTGGGGGATTTAGTAAACTAGCTAGATATTGTTTTAGTTGACATACTATGTGAGTTGTTAGACTAAGAATGTGCTTCTGACATTGACCTGGATATTAGTTGCAAATATTGAGTTCCTTTCAATATTAGCTATTAAAATGATGATTCTATAATCTGCATATCCTTGTAATAGAAAGGAAACAGAGAGGCTTAGAGAGGAAGAACAAGCAACACTTAAGGAGTCATAGTTGTGGGAAGGGACAGAAGTGGGGTTGATAAGAGGAATCCAGTGTGTGCACATTTGTGAAGGAGTTCTTTCTGACAGTCACAAGGTTCAATGTTATTTGTTTGCATTATGGAGAGGTGACAGTGAGGGGATCAAATTGATATTGTTATCAGGAAATAAAATAAAAAGTGTAAGAACAAAATTAGGGTTAATGAAGTCTATGGAATAGTAGCTTCATGGCTATCTATGTTATATGAGGAGCGTTTTTCACTAGTCAGAGGCGTACATATGGATACTTCTCAACTGAACACTATGTAGAGTGGGGTTGGACAGTTGGATATTTTGATTAGAAGAGCATGGTAATATCAGCCATCAAGCATCTTGTGGTTGCCTGTTGCAGCTAGTTTTGAACCTTTGAGTGAATGTTGGGAGCTCTTAATGGAAGGGTACTAAAGGATTGATTCTTACATTTGCTGAAGGATCCATTTTGCCATGTAAATTCCTTCTCAAGTTTTATTATCTAGCTGTGTTGTCAAGGTGTGTCCCTAGGTGTGCCTTGCTTTGTGCTGCCTTGCCAGACAACAAAGCACCTCAGACCCTTCCAGGCGAGGCCAATTTGATTAGGCACAGTTTTTTGCAGGGCAGCAATAGGCATAAAAATAAGTCTGCCTGATTGAAGTTTTCTTTTATTTCTTTTACTTTTCACCATGTGTATTGACCATTAAAAAAATTGTGCATTTTGTTGATAATCTAGACAACACGTGAGAGCTTATTATAGGAGTATATCTTAAGCTTACACTAATGTAAAACTAAAATAGGTTTACACACTTCTATAACTGTTTATTCGTTATATATTTACAATCTGATCATCATATTTCATTTTCTATTCATGTAGATCGTACACATCAAGTTTTTTGTAAATTAAAAGGTCTAACTTTGCATTTGATGTACAAACTTTCAGTCGATAAATATATATTGATAAACTTGGCATTCTCAATGAATATGATAGAGATATCATATCAATTTGAAACCTTTCATGCATAACAAGTACCATTATATTGATCAATTCAACAGCTGGATCGTTGAAATATTGCTCGTTCAAAA